CCTGGAGTTCTGTATAGTGTCCCATGCAAGTCCATATCAGTAGGCTGAAAGGCTAAAGGGTCTGCAGCAGAAGCCAGGAGATAACATCCAAAGTGAAAGCCAAGAGTAGAGCTCCTCTGAGGAAGACAGAAACAATCCTTCGGTCTTTATTTCCCTTTTATAACATTTTGATCATAATCCTCCTTATGGTTGGGTGTTCCACACCCAAAGTATGCTGAGCCAATGTAGTTGGGCATTGCTTACTCTAATTGACAGTCAACATCAACAATAGGATTTTTACACAAAAACAAAAAATTGAACTCACTTTTATTTTTGCTAGTTATATAACATATTTTGAACATATTATATATTCCAGGGTTCTCATTTTTTCCTTGTGTTTTACTGTATAGATGTGTAACAATTTAACTGTTTCGCCATTAAACAGCCTTTTCAGGTTTGCTATTATAAAAAGTGATTCTTGTGCTGGGGATTTAGCTCAGTGGTTCCGCTGCCTGCCTTGCAAGCACAAGGTCCGGAGTTCAATCCCCAGTACCAAAAATAAGTGATTCTACTAAGTACATAAAAATCTTTATATGTACTGTTTTGTGCTCTGTGTGGGTGAATTAAAAAGTGAAATTAAGTGTCAAAGGGTATTAAATGTTGATAGATCATGCCAAAAAGTTGTTTGTTTTTTTTGGTTTTGGAGACAGGGTCTCCGTGTAGTTATAAATTACCTTGAACTCACCATGTAGCCTAGGCTGGCCTTGAATTCTGTGATCCTCCTGCCTCAGCCTCCTGAGTGCTAGGATTATAAGCATCCCCTACCATGCCCAGCAGTAACAGTTTTTATAGTGTTTTTTATAGTAGATCTGGGTCCACAGCTCCAATTTTTATTTTTTGGGGTTTTTTTTCAATTTGTGTTTTTTAAATAAATTTTATTTTATCCCATCTCCCCCCTCGAGCCCCTCTCCAATTTGTAAATATACTGTCATTTCTTTTTCTTTTTCCCTGAGACAACGTCTCTATACAGTTCAGGCTACCCTTGAACTCTATGTAGCTCATGATGGCTTGAAACTCTCAGCAGTCCTCCTGCCTGAGCCTCAGCCTCCTGAGTGCTGGGAATACAGGCATGTGCCACTATGCCCAGCTAATAAAGTTGTCATTTCTAAGGTGATTATAATCTTCACTGTATCTTTTCCTCTGGCAGGTGGGCATTAACTACCAGCCCCCCACTGTGGTCCCTGGGGGAGACCTGGCCAAGGTGCAGCGGGCCGTGTGCATGCTGAGCAACACCACTGCCATTGCTGAGGCCTGGGCCCGTCTGGACCACAGGTTCGATCTCATGTATGCCAAGCGGGCCTTTGTGCACTGGTATGTGGGAGAAGGCATGGAGGAAGGGGAGTTCTCTGAGGCCCGGGAGGACCTGGCAGCGCTGGAGAAGGATTACGAAGAGGTGGGTGTGGATTCCGTGGAAGCAGAAGCTGAAGAAGGGGAAGAATACTGAATAGGAGCGAGCAGCTGGCAGACAATCCTGTCTTCCACTGTCTTCTGCTACCCTGTAGCATGGCTGTCTTCAGGTTATTTACAATTAAAATTTCTGTGTAAATCCTTGTCTGTGTTGTGCTGCTCGTCTGCTCACAGGGGTGGACATGATCACAGAGCTATGTGGAAAGCTGGTCTGGGCTCGTCTGCTCCATGGGAGTGAGCCTTGGGTACAGCACTACTGTAATGTTTAAGAAACCACTGCTGAAGGTGAGTTGACCTGAGGGCAGTATTTCAAATCCAGAGTTTCAAAGCACAAACATTTGCCAACTTCTAAGAGAACTAAGGGTTTTTTCCATTGACTTTATTATTTGGAGGGCTTCTCCATTGATAATGTGCTTACTAAAGTATTAGAGCTAGAGATGGAGGGTTTAAATCTGAGGTCTGTGGGTAGGGAATGTCCACAAAATCCCTAAAATGGTGGGTCAAATGTGAAAAGTCAGTGGTTGTGCAGGTCTGCAGTCCTAGCACTGAGAAACGAGGCAGGAGGTTTCCACGTGTGTCCAGCCTGAGCAATTTATTCACTTAGCAAGACCCTGTCTTAATCAGTCAATCAAGGCCTGAGGATGTAGTATTTTGTGGTACTAGAGATTAAATTCAGGGCCATTTCTGTCTGCCCCATCTTTGGCAGTATTGGAGATTGACCTCAGGGCCCTCACACTGAGCTTCATATCCAGCCCTTTTAGAGACAGGGTCTTGCTGTGCTGCCCATGCTAGCTAGAGCTTGCAGGCATCCTGGTGCTGGGATTACAAGAGTATGCCAGTGCACCTGGCTTCCATCCCTTTTCCTTTTTTTTCTTCCTTTCTCTCTTTTTCTTTCTTTCATGCATTCATATATTTATTTAGACAGGGCCTTGTTATGTAGTTCAGGCCAGCCTTAAACTATTTAGGTCAGGCTGGCCTCAAATTCAGTGATCCTCCTGCCTCAGCCTCCCAAGGGCTATGATTACAGGTGTGCATACTGTTCAGCTTCCCAGCCCCTTTTTAGTTATTTATTTTGAGATAGAGTCTCACTAAGTTACTAAGTTATCAGGCTGGGCTTGAACTTGGAATCCTTCTGCTTTAGCCTGGAAAGGGTTATCATGACCCACAGAAGGTCATGGTATACCCACATTAACCTTACTGTGCATAGTCATTTGGAGACTGTTTGCCTTCCATGCTCACCCACTGCCATCCCTGCCCACCAATACTTTGAACAGTCCAGGTAGGGAACACTACACTTTTCACTTCAAGGGAGTCTTTTTCACCTGTTTCGAAAAGATTGGCAGTGTCCATTCTCTCTTAGACCCAAAACTAGGGTCAAGAAGGCAGTTACTGGTTTTGGTTCCTTGGTTTGGGTATAACAAAACCAGGACCAGTGCACAGAACTCATAAATCTTTGTACTTTTTTTCCTTTGCAATAGTGGGGGTTGAATCCAAGGACTCACACATGCTAAGCAAGTGCTCTACCACTTAGCTACTTAGTTCTCTAGCTTTTTTTATTGTCTGAGATAGGGTCTTGCTCAGTTGCCCGGGCTGGCCTCAAATTTGCAGTCCTGCCTTAATCACTTAAGCAGCTGGAATAACAGGCATGTGCCATGCCCTGCAATCTTTGTGTTTTAATACATCTAGAAAGTGACAGAGAACATCTGATCCAGACCATCACCTTTCTGGAAAGCTTTTCTTTTTGGGAAAGTTTTAACAGAAAAACTCTGTTGAAAAAAGAAACAAGAAACTCTGTTGAGAGAATGGTGGTGCCCAGCAGGTTGGCAAGACAGTCTCTGCTCCTATACTACGTGCTGCTCCGAGAGGTGCTCTTCCCAGGGCCACCCCCTTTGGGCAGCCTGGTGGTACTGGGCTGGTGGGGCATCCTCTGGCTTGATCCTTCTCGGCTGCTGCGTTCTGCCAATGTGGGTGCTCCACTGAGAGAAGGTCCGCCTCTGTTTCTCCCTGAGAAGACAGAACAAGTGTTAGGAACCTGGGCAAACTATTATTTCAACACACCATATTTGTGTTCCTTAAATGTTTATATCTATGTTAAGTAGCTCTGTTACAGCCAGTGACCCCACATCAGCCTAGGGTCCTGGGGCTGAAAACTGCCTAAATCAGCACATTCCAGAGAAAGCCCTTGAAAGTGCAGATGCTTTCTAGGTGTCTCATGGCTGGAGCAGGAATGCCTTGAAAGGGCACACACTATGGATCCACTGAGGGGAAGGCAAGCCTGGTTGGTCTACTGCCCTGAACAACCTATGTAATCTGCCTGTCCCTAAGCAGATAGCAGGAGGAACTTGTTACCTCTCCTCTCCAATGCATGTTAACTGAACTAGCTACCACTCCTGCCTTGATCAGACTCTGACAGGAAGTAGAGCAACTGTTAAGGACAGAAGACAGGTGTCTGATTTTGAGAGCTCTTTCTGAACAATATTTTTTCCCTGCTTCTAGAGTATTCTTCAAACATAGTGCTCAAGCCTCTTGCTCTTGGGTTTAGCTACTGATTCCAGAGGCTTTAATGATTGAAACTGTCTACTAGATAGTAACCCTGATTAAACCCATTAGCTCATATATTCCTTGATCTGTGCTTCGCTTACTCTTATCTTTTTTGTGAAGATAGCCAGAAAGATCTGCAGCCACACTTGGACAAAACCAAGAATGTTGAGAGCATCTGTAAGACAAAGGACCCTACAGCAACAACACATGTCCAGGAGCAGGACTGCCCATGGCCTCATTCCCTCCCACACAGCCAGTCTCCTGTCAGGCCTGGCATGGTCTACCCTAAAGCTCTGAGCAGGGCATGTGTCCCCTCCTTGACCCATGGTGCAGAGTTCTTCAAGGCCCCCAGCTTGTTTTTTCCTTGTCCTCAGAAACAGTGCCTTGACTTCTCTGTGGCCTAACCAGCTGTATTTTCTCCTATAGACCTTGGACATTCTCAGACACTGATCAACTTACTTAGGTTGTTGCCTAAAATTAAAATGTTTAATATGAAATATTAAACACTTGGAAACTAGCCCTGGCCAAAGCCAAGTTCCTTGACCAGCCAAATTCCTTGAACTTCATATAAATATATGCTGACCCCCTCCCTGGGACATGCCTAGGAAACCTCTTCCTTTAGTCTCTCCAGGTCATACTACAGCCCTCCTTTGAGTTCCCTAATAAATATTTCAAAATCTCAGCTGGCCTTTCCCCAGGATGGTTTGGGGCCATCCCTTACAGGAACTTGCCTGCTGCCGCTTCTAGGGCAACTCTAGCCTTGGGTGTGGCCCTTTGACAACAGTTCTTCCCTGGCCTCTTCATCAGTGTTAGTTAAATATTGCAAAAGGGATTGCAAGTTCTTGAAGCAAAGATGCAAAAATGTCTGAAAGAGTGGCCATTTCCATTTCACCATTTGTCACATCCATCAAGTGAGCAGAGGCACATGTATCTGAAACACAGGCAACTCTGGCCCCTCCAGGGGTTCTTCTGACATACTTTCTATGCTCTCCATTCCTGACCAGGAATCTTCCCCAGATTCTTCCAGGGATAGGATGGCCTTCAGGAAGATTTCTGGGAGAATAATTTCTGGGATTTTTGTTGCTGTTTGGTATGGGGAAGATTAACATGGTGCAATGTTCAGAATGTTAGCAGCTCATCCCACCTTCAGTTTTCCGCTGCTTTACCAGTTGTGATGACACACCTGCAATTCCACCACTTGGGGAGCCCAAGGCAGGAGGATCACAAGTTCAAGGCCAGTTTGGTGAGACTGTGTCTCAAAAATGTGCTGAGGGGCCAGGGATTTAATTCAGTGGTTTCGCCACCTGCTGTGAAGCGCAAGGACCTGAGTTTGATCCCCAGTACCAAAAAAAAAAAAAAAAGGCTGGGTATACAGCTCAGTACAAAGACCCTAGGTTCAATCCCCAGTAAGGGGGGGGGGAATCCCTTGCCTCACCTACCTGGGCTTCACATTCAAGTGTCGTATATGATAGATTCACTAAAGACATGGTAATGGTCTGCCATAGTTGAGGAATGGGGGGGACAAGAACATGTGATGGGGTGACATTGGGTCCAGTCAACATCCATTCCCTTTGGTACAAACAGCCACAATTCTGGTCTCCAATGATGACTAGCGGGTATGAGTCCCATCTCTGCTGGGTGGACATAACCTGCCACCTTGCGGCCATCTCCATCAACATGCCACGGTTCCTCTGTAGGCTGGGCCAGGTATGTGAGCATACCTGCTGTTCACAGCAGTGACCCAGTCCTGGCGCCCACCAGTTAACAGTGAGGGGCATTTTCTGATGGAGGCAGAAATAAGGCCCAGGTGTGGGTCATGTCTGGCTCACACCCCACCCCACCCCCTGCCCCAGCAAGTGGCAAGGGCAGATCTTATAAGTGGGGGGCTTGACTCTAAAGCCAGCTTTGTTTCAGCCTGCCACACATACCTGGGAGTTTTTTTCCTCCTGCTCAGGACACTGACTAGATCCCTCTGAAAACTGAAGGATGACAGGGTAGTAGAAAAGAGCAAATAGTGCTCTCATTTTAAAATCTGACAGGGTTGCTAGGTGTGATGGTACATACTTATAATCCTAGCACTCTTGGAAGCTCAGGCTAGAGGATCACATGCTCTAGCCCAGCCTAGCAACTTAGTGAGACCCTGTCTCAAAAAATAAAAAAGGGCTAAATTCAAAGACCCAATTCAAAAATGGGCATCTGAAATGAACAGACATTTCTCAAAGAAGCAGCAAATATATGAAAAAATGTTCAACATCACTAGTCATTCGAGAGATGCAGATGAAAACAACACTGAGATTCCACCTCACCCCAGAAAGAATGCCTGCTATCAAGAAATCAACCAATAACAAATGCTGGCGGGGTTGTGGGGAGAAAGGAACCCTTCTCCATTGTTGGTGGGAGTGCAGACTGGTGCAACCACTGTGGAAATCAGTATGGAGATACCTCAAAGAACTAGGGCTAGAGGTCCCATTTGACCCAGCTATTCCCCTGCTGGGTATCTTCCCCAAAGAATTAAAAGAATCATACCAAAGCGATATATATGTGCACCCATGTTTATAGAGGCATAGTTTGTAATAGCTAAAGCTTGGAAACAGCCCAAGTGCCCATCAACTGGAAACTGGATAAAGAAGATGTGGTTTTTAAATAAAATGGAGTACTACTCAGCCATAAAAAATAAGAAACTAGAGACATTTATAGCTAAATGGATGCATATTGAGGCCATACTCTTTTAAGTGAAATAAATAGGACACACATGTAAATACTGAATCGTTTCTCTAGTGTGAGAAACTGAAAGTGTAAATAAGGATTAAAATGATTAAAATGAATAATTGAGGGCTGGGGATTTAGCTCAGTGGTTTTGCTGCCTGCTGCACAAGCAAGGACCCGAGTTCGATCCCCGATACCAAAAAAAATAATTGATAATTTGAAATAGGAAAAGGTCCAAAGGTGTGGGGGTGGTGGGAGGGAAAGGGGAAAGGAAAAGGAAAGAAGGGAAAGGAAAAATTATGAGAAAAGAAAACAAAACCTATGTAAATAGGGAAGGGTGAAGGGGGTGAAAGGCGCACAGGTAATGGGGAAAAAAATAAGAAGCAAGATACATCATGTACAAGTACAAGCACCCAATGATAAATGTAAACGTATTGTATACCTAAAATGTACCAATAAAAGAATTTAAAATTTAAAAATGTAAAAAAAATTTATAAGGGCTGAAGATGGAGCTCAGTGTGAAAGCCAGGGGTTCAGTCAATCCCCGGTACTGCAAAACAAAACAGAAAATTGACAGAGCTAATAAACTCAATGTAAACCAACATAACTCTGAGCCACAGAAGACATTAAGAAAACAATCTAAGGCTAGGGATGTAGCTCAGTTGTAGAGTGCTTGTCTTGCATGTGTGAGGCCCTGGGTATTATTCTCAGCACTTGAAAAACAGTCTAATAACAAAAGCAGACCCGTTTATCTAGCTCTGTATGATTCTTGGAACCTTTCAGGAATCACATGCTTCCATTGTCAGCTGCAACACTGTCACTTCAGGTCTCTTAATGTTATACATGGACAAGGAGGTCAAGGAGAGGGATTGAGGGGGAATGGGATAAAATAAAATAAAATTTATTAATAAAAAAACAAACAAAAAAGGTCAAGAGTGTGATTCTAGCCCCAAGAAGAATGGTCTGCAGTGACTTCATGGGGAAGCTCAAACTGTACCTCAAGATGGGAAGACCAGCTTTGTCAAGCCCAGCTCCCTTGCAGGAGGGTAGGGGTCAGATGGGGTAGGAGGGTCATGGCAACTGAGGCTCCCAGTCCTGGTTCCAAGAATGCCCTCTCAAAATATCCTGGCTTATTCTCTTCAAAAATGAGTGCTCTTGGCCGAGGATTTAGCTGTGGCAGCATGCCTGGCTTGAAAGCGCAAGGTCCTGAGTTTGATCCCTGGTACACACACACAAAAAGTGCTCCTCACCCTGAAACCTGATCCCTCAGCATTTTGTGATCCCATGAAAGAACAAAACCCTAAAATGTACCAGCCTGTCAGCTACGTGTCATGATTTGGGGAGTCCAAGAAGCTGGGGAGTATGCCAGGGCAGGAACTATTCCACTATTTACCTTTGGAGGGACCTTTCTGAGCCTCAATTCACCATCCCCTGTAAATATGACTGGCTGGTGAGGCAGAGCTGGTGGAGAGTGAGGATGTGTAAAGAACAGTAGTGTAGCCAGGTGTGGTGGCATACCCCTATAGTCCCAGCTACCCAAGAGACTGAGGCAGGTGGATCCCTTAAACTCAGGAGTTTCAAGGTTAGCCTGGGTTACATAACAAGATCCTGTCTAAACAAAAACAAAATAAATTCCCAGTGTGCCCTGCTTCTCTCATCCCTTCCTGTTGGTCCCATTGGGTAGACTTTCTCCTTCTATAGTGGGACCCCCATCTCCTGGTGACACAGACCAGCAGACATTAGCAGGATAAAAACAGAGAAGGGGACAAGGAGAGGTTAAGAATTATGGAGCCTGTAGGAAAACCTGACAGATTCTTCTCCGGGTGCATGCTGCAGGAAGGGTGAGGCCGCATTAGGTCTGTATCACAATGGACGGCAGAGCATAGCAAGCCACCCCAAAACCTTCCCACACATGCAAACTGCCCTGGTGGGTGCCAATCAGTTTCTCAAGCAAAGCACACAGCTACCCCTCAATGCGGGTGGCCAGGAAGGATGGGAAGCCAGGGTAGCCTCAGAAGATCTGTGCTGCCACCAGCCAGTACTGCTGCCCTCTGGCCACACACATGACAGTGGCTAATTAATACTTCAAGAACACATAGAAGCCTGTGGCAAAGATAAATGTGTAGGATGGAGACCCACACAAGTACTCCAACCCAGCCTACACTTCCCAGGTGTCCTTTCATGTGGATGTGCCCAGTGAGCCCTTCCCTGTACATGCATCCAAACACTTGTGCATTTGCACAAAAAAAACACACACACAACCTTTCCTTGGCCTTGTGAGAAAAGTGCCATCATGGAAGTGCTGCAGGAATAGGACTCAAGCCACATATGTAATTTTAGACTTTCTAATAGTCATACTAAAAAGAAATGGGAAATTACTTCAAGCATCTGTTCTGATTAACAAGCCCTCTGTGGGCTCCACATCTACAGGTTCAACAAACTATGGATCAAAAAATATTTGAAAAAAAATTGCACCTGTATTGAACATGTGGAGTGCTTTTCTTGTTATCATTCCTTAAACAATATGACAACTATTTACACAGCACTTACATTAAATACTCTAAGTATTGTAGAGATTATACAGGAAAGCCAGGTGCAGTGGCCCACACCTACTGCCTAAACTACTTGGGAAGCTGAGGTAGGAGAATCACTTGAGCTCAGGAGTTCAGGGCCAGCCTGGGCAACATAATGAGACTCCATCTCTAAGAAAAATCAATACAGCCTGGGAGTGTGGCTTAGTGGTAGAGCACTTGCCTACCAGGTATAAGCCATGGGTTCTATCCTCAGGACCCTAAAGTAAAACAACCTAAAAATCACTTTAAAGTCCTGTTAGGTAATTTACATTTTAAAATGTATAAAATACATTTAAAATGTATTTGCATAAGTTAGTTATATGCAAATACTATATCATTTCATATAAAGAACTTGACGAAGATTTTGCTACTCATGGCAGTTTTGTGTGTGTGTGTGTGTGTGTGTGTGTCCTAGAACCAAACTCTCACAAATACTGAGGGATGACTATTTTATCATTTCAGTATATAGCCAACATATATTCATAAGGTGTTGCATTCATTTTTTGTTCCAGCTCTTCAATGTCCAGTGTGTACTTACACATACAGTGTCCCTCAGCAACACTGGCCATGCATAGCTCATGACTCCTTTACTGGACACCACAGCTGTGTGACATTCACACCTTCTACACACCTAACTTCTCCTTACATGTCTGGAGGGACATCTTCAAAATGCGGTTTCCTTAAACCTAATCAGAATACTGAAATGAATTTAACTTTTCCCCAGTGACTGCAGATCCTCACTGTGACTAATACTACTTTGTGCTTCTGGGTTTTCTGTTTTCCCCTTCTCTGCTGGGCATGAGTCCCTGGAGGCCACTCAGATGGCCCCATTGTGCTTTGCTGTAGACTTCATGTGCTTTTAGACTCGAGCCTGAATAAGGTTCGGACCTATGGCCTGGAGCAACTTTGTACTTGAGTCCTGTGGGAAACCCATGGTCAGCAACTCCAATGGTCCTGAACCCACATCACACTCCCACAACACCAACACTTTGACCATTCCCTTATTTTCTCCACCCTAGATTTTGTCATTTATGGGGTGGCCTGGGGGATGGGTGCTAAAACAGGCCTCAGAGCTCCTTCTGCACCTTATCTGGTGGTTTCTCAGCTGAAGCACACTAGGAGAGTGTAGAAGCCTAACTCTGTGCCGCTCCCCTCTTCCCCTCACAGGGCATTTCCCCAGAGCCTAGGTGTCACCCCAGGGCCAGGGCCTGGGCTATGCTGTAGGACTGGGGCCCTGACATCCAACAACACTGTGGAGGCCATTCCAGGCCTCATGCTTGAGGTTTCCTCCCCACTTCCCTTGAAGCTTCCATTCATTCACATCAGGTCCCCCATCCTCCTAAGCCCTCCATGCCTTGCTTCCATACACCTCCTCACTCTCCACTTTCTCCCTCCCCCACCTGCCAGTGGCCTGGACACAAAAGACACCACTGTCCTGCATCTCTGCCTGGCCTCACTCAGTGCCCCTGTACCCACACCATCTGGCAGAGATGCAGGGGCCCTGTCCCTGGCCCCTCCTATCCCTATTTTGCTTAACCTCTGCTGCTCTGTGTCTGGGCCTCCTGTGTCTGGGCAGGCCACATCTCCCCACTTCTCCACCACTGTCAGTTTATCTAGCCACCTCTAACTACACCCAAGTCATGCCCATCTCATGTTCCCTCTGTGCCTTTGGTGCCAAGGGCTGTGCCGAGCAGCTGGAGTCACTGAGTGAGTATCAACATCCTCTAGAGTAAGGAAACCCTGTTCTCAGTTTCTCCCTACTTTTGAAAACTCACCTGGCAATTTGTCATCTCAGCCTGTAGTCCACCCTCCCATCCTGGGCACCGCCCTGAGGTGGGCAGTGTAGGGAGGGCATGGAGGAGGGAGCAACCTTTCCAGTCCTGAGCTCCCAGTCACAACACACTTAACACATGGAAGGTGCCACAGCCCAGGAATGAAGCAGGAAAGGGGACTCAGTTTGCAAGTGTGACTTATGGAACAAGCACATATCATTCTTATGTGCTGCCAAGAAGGCTGGGGAGAGGCATGGCATCCATTCCATCCTCCAGACCTACCGGCCAGGTAATGGACAGCACCTACGAGGCTGAAGTGCTTCTCACAACTGAGGCTATGTTTCCATTGGTGCCCCATGCTGCCTGTTCCCCAGCCCTCAGCTTGCTGTCCTCCCCCTGGAGTGGGGCCCTTTACATCATGCAAATCTCACCCACTGGAGTTAGTCTTGAACACAGAAGTGTTGGTCCCCTCCTTGACATTAGCTTGACTACATGTTGTACAAATAGTGTCTTTAGTAAACCAAGCCAGAAAGCATGACCTAGTTCTAAGCTGTGTGGCAGATATAGCCCACGTGGTCCTGCTCTTGCAGCTCAAAGCTGCTCTGATCTTGTGGGGCAATTGGCAGTTTCCATAGATACAAGACAGCACACCAACCCCCAGAGATAAGCCAATAAACGCAACCTGTGAAAGGAGAGAACAGGCAGCAAGAGAACCGGAGGGAAGCAGGGGGCCTGGGAGAGAGAGGTGAGTGCATGGCATCTGAGCTGTGGAGCAGAACTGGAGAGGCCGCAGGCCGCAGGGCTGAGGAAAAGGAAGACCTTGCAGGGGGGGTACTGTTCCTGGCAGAGAGAAAGGAAGCCTCTGGAGGTCAGAGAAAGAGACACAAAGACAGGAGACAGAGGGTGGGTCAGTGAGGTGGCCTAGATGCCATTGCCCAGGGCCTTTTTGGCCAGGACTTGAGGATTCCCAGGGTCCTGGCCCACCTCCCCATAAGGGCTTGGCTTGCCCTCTGCCCCTCCTCAGGATGTCTGTGTGGGTGTGGGAATGTTTCCAGGCAAGGAACCCAGCCCAGGTCCTCTTTCCATTGGCCTGGGAGGTTCTGCTACATTTCAGAAGGTTCCAGATAGTCACCCTGGGGAGAAGCAACAAATAGGGATGATGAGTTGGAGACCAGAGGCTCTACCGTGACATACTCTCCTCACCAACATCTGCAATTCTGAGGGAGGCCCAGATGGCCAGAACCTGGGCACAGGCTGGGTACAGGTAAGGGGTGCCCGAAGTATTCTCTAATCACTTCCCTGGAGGGTGTAAATGTCAGGAAGTCAGGTACCAAAGCTATCTTTATTTCTGTGCTTGCGGAATGAAGGCATGAGTGAAGAGGTAGGAAGCTGGGGCAGTTGAACCCTTAGCCTGCCTAGACCACCCCAACTTCCCGTTGAGACCCCTTAATCTGCAACTGCATTCCCAAGGGTGCCTGGAACCTGAGCCTGTAAGTCTTGGGAAGGCAGGACTGGTAAGTCCGGCCATTTAGGGCCAAGCTGACGCTATGGCCAGCTACCCCTGCCACACGGGGCTGGGAGCACGGGGCCCAGCTCTGACCTCGAGTCTCGGGGACGCTGGATGAGGGCAGAGACACAGCTGCAGGGTCCTGGGGATCGCTTGCCAGCCTCTGCCCGGCGCACATAGACTTGAGCATCTGGAAGACGGCGAGGGGGGCCACATTCAGATTCAGCAGGTCCACCAGGATCCTGGTGAGAACAAATGGCGTAGTCAGTGAGCCCGCCCCGCGGTGGGACAGGGCCTGCTCCAGCCTGGGCAAACCCGCCGGCCCACCATCAGAAAGACCCTGATAAGGAGCGTGTGCTCGGGGCAAGCGGGTCTTCTAGGCTAGCAGGCCCCGGCCAGGAGGGGCCTGGAGCACGCAAGTGGCTGCGGGTCGGATAAGCGCGAGGCCCCCACCCGCACCCGCTCACTTGAACACGTCGGGGTCGACGGCGACGCCCGCTGCCTGCGCCAGCTCGTACAGCTCCATCTCCTCGGCGCTCAGCACCTTTTTCCGCCGCAGCGCGAGCTTCTGCAGGGTCGCTGCCTCCAGCCCACCACCCACAGCCGCCATCAGGGTCATCAGCTGGAAAACGCGCGCCCAGCTCCGCCCACCCCGCCGCCTAGCGGGGGGTAGCAGCGCCCTCTACTGGCCCTCCTTCTCCCTGCAGGGCTAACCCTCGAGGCCAGCTGGTCATTTGATCTTTACAGATACACTTATTGAGAGGCTACTAGGTGTTAGGCAGTGTGTCAGGCGAAGGGGATACTGTAGGAGAGCAGAGGTCCGCTTCTTGGCTATCAGACCTTCCCTACTAGACTGGATTGTCATGCTTGCTTAGGTAGCAGCACATAGAGAAAAGACTGGTATATAGTGGGCACTAGGTAAATGAAGGGCATTCAATGTACAGTACTGTGCAGGTTCCTCACTAGGGAAGTCGCCTACCGGGCCCTAATAAACAGCCTCTGTTCGAGTGCAAGTGCATTCCCTGCTAAGGCTAAAATGCCTTAAATTCAGCCCAAAGGGGCGAAGTTGTCTCTTCTGCGCGTGCGTTTTCAGCGCTTCCTGCCCCCCACCTTTTGAAGTCGAAGAAGTAGGGGCCATTTTCCCGCCGGATCGGGGGCGTGGCGTCGCGCGCAGCTTGATGACAACAGCTCGGCGTCCGGCGGCTGAATGGCGGCTTCCAGTCCTAGTGCTGCGGCGCTAAAGGTTCCACTGGTGAGTGGCTGGAGGCGCGCGCGCTACAGCGCTGCGCCCTTAGGGCTTTCTCGTGCCCCCGCTGAGGTCATCTGCCTTTCTCCGCGAGCCCAGGGATTCGGGCCGGGCACCGGCCATAGCCCGGCCTAGGCCGGCACGGTGTAGGGAGGAAAGGGCTCTCTGTCTGAGTCCTTTTATACCACCCTCCCGGGCTCTGACCTGGCACCCTCTCGCACAGCCAGCGCACCTCGTCTCGTATGAGGTCGGTTAACATTCGCTCGACGTGTTGAGGGAAGGAGAGCTTTGGGTTAAAGGCGAACCTTAGGCTCAACGAGCGGGTTCCGACTCAGGCCTTTTCCTCCTGTATGGTTGGACTTTTCCAGGCCTCAGTTCCTCCTCTTTAGTAGGGGAGTCTCGACGCTTTACTACATACGATATTTGTGAGTAACAAATAGGGGCATGCTGGTGCTTCTCAGCAGCCAGGTCTTGGCAGTCGGGCGGTACGCTTGGCCTAATTGGCCAGAGGCTGGGAACTGGCCAGAAGAAATCGCAAAATAAGATCTGAAGCGGCACCTAAAGAAAGTGGGTGTTGAAGGGGTGGTATGAAGTGAACCCTCTGTGGGGTATGATGAGAGCATAGCCGTGACATGGTCAGAAAACAAGTTGAGAATCCCTGCCCTCCTCAGGGAAAGACCTGAATTTGACCGGTCTAGGCCTCATTCTTTCAGCAGCTGGCCATGAAGCTTCCTCTGAGCAAAGGGATCCTTTCATGTCAACTCTAACGTGTTGCCCTTATCAGTCTGAAGTTTTGTGCTGCTTTCGTAATTTTTGATTTGTGTGATGTTCCATTGACCAAGTAGGTCAGGACTGAGGCATTTTAAAGTGTTCCGTAACACTGAAATTGACAGCTAAAGTTAAGAATTTAAAAAATTTTGGAGATGCTCCTCTTTGAAATGTCAACTGCCTGCAGCACCTCCTTATGCCCAATTTCTCTCCCTCCACATACATTGCCAGTTGCGAACTCAGTGTCTTCACTTGTGTGCTAAATAGAGCTGTGCCAGGAAAGCCATCACAACCCCATTGATAGGACTCTACAGGCTTCCTTTCTGCTCAGTCCAACTCTGAGTATTTCTTGTTTCTGACCAGGTTGGGCAGAGATGTAGGAATCTGGAAATTTTCTGATGATCTATTCAAAGGTTCTGTTGGCTTTTCTCCTCATTGCATAGAGTACAGTAGTATGCTATACCCACCTGTTTATGAAAGGTTTGTGAGGAGATTTATTATTTGAATCTTGGCTCTGCTGTTCACTGGCTGGTTAGGGCAAGTGAGCTAGTGCTATTCTACCTGTTTCCTCATCTGTACTGACCTTACAGGGTTGTTGTGATGATCTATTTTCTATTTTTTAACAAATTTAGCAGCTTATTTAGGGTGGCAGGAGGATTGAAAAGAGACCTGTCCCAAATAAAAAGGACTGGGCATGTTCAGTTCAGTGTGAAGGCCCTGGATTCAATCCTCAGAACTAAAAAAAGTAAATAAAAACAGCACCCATTTGTTGTCTCCCAAATGTACAGTCAGAAGCCCACCAGGGCATGGTGGTACACACCTATAATCCCAGCACTCAGGAGCCTCAGGATACTTAGTGAGTTCAAGGCCAGCCTACACTAGCTAGACTGTCTCAAAAAAGGGGGGTGGGGTGGAAGAAGTCCAGGCAGGCTTAAGCTTGGTTCTCTGCTTAGGTGTTGGTGGCTTTGCTCCTATCTAGACTCTAGAGAAGAATCTGCTTTCAAGTTTATTGAGGTTCGTGCCAGAATCCAGTTCCTTGGAGCTGTAGAACTATCAACTGGAGTACCCTTTATTTTAAGGTCCGTTGACTTGGGACATTAGTTGCATCTATAAAATCCTGTTTGATTGAGTAACCAAGGGATTGAGGGGTATATTTAGAATTCTGCCTGTCATGGAGGATCAAAGGAGGAAATGTATGGCAAGCCCTCAGAACCAGTCCTGGCATGTCGCAAGAGCTGTACAGGTGTTACCAAAGACATCACCTAAATTTGGCTCTGAAGCTGGCCCATGAACTGTGTGAGAATGACATTTCTACAAAACGTACAACTGACATTGCAGTGTGTGTGTTGAGTTATGCAAACAGGTGGGTAAAGCATATAAGCTGTGCTCTGCGCAATGAAAGGAGAAAAGCCAAGAGAACCTTTGGGCATTGTGAAACTGCATAATATTTTGTTGTGTGGCAGATATTGATATTTCATCTTTGTTTTTCCACAGTGATTTCCTAACGTGACCATTTTTTACTCTCCAAGAAAGGCTACTATGGCATTCCCTCACCTACAACAGCCTAGCTTCCTACTGGTAAATATCAATTGCATTTGGAAGTGTCAGAGTAACAATAATTGTATAGCTGAGGGACTTAATGATTCTTTCCACTGATTCAAAGAACTCTAGTGGTTGTTTTTTAGGGGCACGTGATAGAAATAACACAAGACTAGGGGTTAGAATGTTAAGCACGAATTTGCCTTCCTATTAGTATAAGACCTTGGGTTTATTCAACTTCTGAGCTCTAGTTTTCTCATCTACAAAATGAGTTAATTCAAATACCATCTTCATACTTCCCAGAGTAGGAGGAGGAGTATGTGAGAAAAATATACATCAGAATGTTCAGGATCTGCAAATCCTTATGGACATATGAAATGTTCTAATAGTTATAACTATTATCTGTGAGAAATGGAGGGGCAGCTGGGATTGCATTTTAAGTAGTAAACATGATGCTGAGAAATTAGGTATGAGGCAGGTATTGGTGATAAAGATTTCTACTTCTGGTTTTCTGGGGATGCTTTTTGTAAACATTTATTGGGAAGGACAATTTTCCTTTGTATATACTACTAGAGCCAACAGGCCTGACCCCTGGGTTTAACAGCTTAGGTCTCCATCTCTGACTTAGATCCTGTAATAGCCACCCTTATTTGGAGGTGGACAAGGTGTTAGATATCCATGGGAAAGCCCTCTTGTTAAAATTGGGGCCTCTCCACCTGATCTTAACCTGTTTGCACAGAAGCCTTTTCTCTATGTAGTCAGAATGCTTTCTCCACATCCCATAATTTCAGGTAGATTTCCACAGTTCTTGTCCTAAATATCTGTTGGTCTCTCTGCTGCTTTTATGATTAATGTTAACTTGGAGGAGGCCATGTATAATTCCTCCCCTCCCTTCTTCCTCCCTACCCCTTCTCTATCCCTGATTAAGAGGAAAGAGCACTTCTCCTTAACCTTTGTTTTGTTGTGACTTCTCACTGATGATTACGGTGGTGTGATCATAGTTGGTGAGGTGGGACGTTCTGATTCATGTGTACAGACTCAGTGAATCCTCGTGGACTATGAGAGGTACAATACACAATAGGGGTTTTCTGCTGGTTGTGGGACTGACCCTGGCACTGAATCTTGCTTGTGCGTTGGTGGAGGTCTGTTTCATTCTGATAATGCACAGTGTTTGGATTGTCTGAGGATTACCTGAGGACAGTGCTGAGAAGCAAGCCTGAGAAGTACTAGTCTAGAGAAGGTAGACCTATAGATTCTCTCTTCTAGTAGTATCCTTGGGGCCACTAACACATGTAGAACCTGATACATGAGGTGCTGGGCAGCCAGATCAGTGATTGTATGTCTAACTTGTACCTATTGCTTGGATTTCCATTTGACTCAAGTCAGAATGCCTGCAAAAGCTATAAGAGCAAATATGTTTGTGACTTTTTTCACTTTGTTTCCTAGGCTAGCCTGAAAGCTGACTATGTAAATAAGCCCTTTGCACAGAGGTGCCAAGACTTGGTAAAAGTCATTGAAGATTTTCCAGCAAAGGTACAGCATCTCTCTTTGGGGCATGCCATATGCACACTTACTATATATTCCTCTAGTGGATAGAGGCCAGGGATTAATGTTCAGGATAATCCCCTGGATCACAAAAAGTGTCTACCCCAAAATATTAACAGTGCCAAAGTTGAAAAACCCTCAGGTAAATACTTTTAAAATACATGTTTAATTTACAACTGGAATTGTCAAGCCCAGGAAGTTGGCCTGTATAATAGGTTAATACCAAATGATAATAAATTATAGTTTTGCTTCAGGGACTTGACTGAGAATGAACAATGTTGATCTTGTTAATAGCTCTCTTTAGATTAAAAGTTTCCATTTTTTATTTATTTGGTTGTTTGTCTTGTTTTGTTTTTTGGAGACAGGGTCTTACTATGTAGTTCAGGCTGGCCTTGAACTCACTATGTAGCCCAGGCTGGCCTTGAACTCATGGGGATCCTCCTTGCCTCTGCCTCTCAAGTGCTGGGATTATGGGCGTATGTCATCATGCCCAGCTAATTTTTCTCTTTTAACTACATTTTATATCACAAGCTGGTTTATTTAATTGGCCCAAGTATAAAGCAGTGCTACTTGGTCTGCCCTGTAACTTCAGTGGAAGAACTCAAAAGTGCTTTTAAGGGCTGGGGATTTAGCTCAGTGGCACTGTGCCTGCCTCCCAAGTGCAAGGTCCTGAGTTCAATCCCCGGTACCAAAAAAAAAAAGTGCTTCTAAACACTATACCACCATTCCTTGTGGGACAGGGGTGGTCCTGTGGGTCTCTACTAGGGAGTGACCTTTTCAGAGAGAGGTGGGCAGTGCATGGTGCAGAACAGAAGCTGGGATGGGAGTGGGCACTGGTCCTCAGCAAGCTTGCCCTCAGCCTCCCTGCACTGTTTCAGGAGCTGCACACCATCTTCCCATGGCTGGTAGAGAGCATCTTCGGCAGTCTGGATGGTGTCCTCGTTGGCTGGAACCTCCGTTGCCTGCAGGGCCGTGTGAACCCTGTGGAGTACAGCATTGCAATGGAATTTCTAGATCCTGGGTAGGTAGGTTTGCTACCTGAGAAGGACTAGATACTTACTTGTGGTGATCTTGTTTTTTTTAAATCACTCTACTTGTTAAAAAGAAACAAGATAGTTTGCAGTTCATTTGCTCTATTTTTGTTTAATTTTGTGTACAGTGGCCCAATGATGAAGTTGGTTTATAAACTTCAAGCTGAAGACTATAAATTTGACTTTCCTGTCTCCTACTTACCTGTAAGTAAGCTATGGTGGTGAGAGTGGTGCTTGAGGCTCAAAGTCTGAAAAAGTGTCTAAGGTAGTAAGCAGGCAGGGGCTTAGAGAGGTGGTGATCCTAGCTAGGAGGCAGGACTCAGAAGGCATCACAAATTAAAACTTCTAGTAGCAGCTTTTCAAAAGATCATTCCAGACTTTTCCAGTAGAGGAGACACCATGGTTTGGTGCTGACTGAGTGCCAGTCAGGGTGATGTGACTGGTTCCTTTCCTCTTCTGAATCCCCACTCTTTCAGGGGCAAATTGAGTTGTAACTTGCCCAGTTGGTATGAGAGGCAAAGGAGATGGGGCTCAAAAGCACTCTCGACTGCTGTCCTTCTTGTCCTTGGATTTTTGTGAGGATGGCAAGAAAAATTCTAAGCAAAGCCAATTTTCCAAATGCCAGAAGAAGGGCACTGTCTCCATAGGCAGATACATGGTAACCTCTTCCTCAGCAGCCTTCCCAAAGAGTTGCACTGCCTCAGGGGCACCATGCTGGCACCTGCCCATAAGCTTACCTTCCTGTCTCCACAGGGCCCCGTGAAGGCATCCATCCAGGAGCACATCCTCCCTGACAGCGCTCTGTACCACAACAAGGTCCAGTTTCCTCCCACAGGGGGTCTTGGCCTGAACCTGGTCCTCAGTATCCTTTGGTAGCCTATAGGGTGGGGAGACTGTGAGTGGCCAGCACACAATGGAGGGTGGGCCACCAACCCTGTGTTTACCCCTTGACCCTGCTAACAGATCCATTTGAGTATTACATATTCTTCTTTGCCTTGAGTCTCATCACTCAGAAGGTACAGAAAAGATGTCTCTGAGTACAGCTTGCTTTACCGCATCTTGCTGTGAAGGGTGGGGGCTTAGCCTGGGGTGTCCCTGTGGTTACTCATGCTTGGAGGAGCCCAGGGTGGTGCCCAGAGCCCACACTAATGATGAGTTTGATTTTCCAGCCACTATCCATGTCCCTCCATGTCCGTACTTCAGACTGTGCCTATTTCATCCTGGTGGACAGGTACCTGTCATGGTTTCTGCCCACTGAAGGCAGTGTGCCCCCTCCATTCTCCTGTAGTCCTGGTGGGGCCAGCCCATCACCTGCTCCCAGGTAAGGCTGCCTTGGCCATTAAGACCTGGCCCTTCTATGAGGGAGTTACCTGGTCTTGGGCATCACCCATGGAGACAGTGGTACCACCCTTTGTCCAAGATTTCCCAGTTTTTCCTGTGCCTCATTTCCTAACACCAACTGCCTCAGCACAGCCAGAAGGGTGTCCATGTTTTAGTGTCTCATGGTCTCTAGCCATCACCGGGGCTGTCAGGTCTCTGACTTCATTGACAGCATGCATGACAGGCTTGTGTTCTACTTGTTGTACCAGCCCTCACTCCAGTGCTGTCTTACTGAGACACGCTCACTGAGACCCACTGAGACAGTGAACAGGATTGAGGGGTGGTGGTGGAAGGATTGTCCTGTGTGGGCTGAGGTAGGGGGGTGAGGAGACACCTGGGGAGAGGAGCCTTTGTACTAGGCCACACAGGCTGAGTCTGATACTGCCACCTCTGTGTGAGAGTTAACTGGGGGCTCTAGCTGGCTCCATGAGGCCTTGGCGGGCCCATTACCCAGAGTCTCTTAGCCAGCTCTTCCCAGAAGTCCCTCCTGCCCTGGCCCCTCTGCTCCTTCCCTCTCTAGGAAAGTCTGCTCCTTTCCTAGGAGGCTGTAGGTGCTGGTCAGCCCATGCTTGCTTGCATGCGCACACCAGGCCATGCCTTCATCCACACTTGTGTGGTCTAATGCCTTCAGAGAGTGGAGAGGCAGGCCAGGAGCTGGGAGAGGCTGCTAGATGGTAATAGTGGCTAGTGACCCTGGCATGGTGGTGATGTTGCAGCTGGGAAGGAAGACTTGGAGATGGGTGGATTCATGCCCTGTGCAAGGCCGGATCCAGCTGCTAAGCAGTCTTCTAGGGCTGGTTTTCTGGTGTTTTTCACTTGTTTTAACTTTTTATTTTGAGTAACTTCAGACTTACCGGAAAAATGCCATGCATAACATAAAGAACTTTCATAGTCCTTTGACCCAGACTTCTGAATTGTTGACACTTTGCCATGTGTCTTATCCTTTCTTCTTCCACTTATCAATACAGTATTTTTTCCCTGTGGGCTGTTTGAGCAAGTTACAAATGTGCCATCCCAGTACTTCTCAGTATTCTAGAGTACATTTCCTAGAATCTAGCACATTCTCCTCCATGACCATCTTACTTCTGTCACACCAGGAAGCTAGTGCTACTACCAGGCCACCACCTAATCCTCAGGCCATGTGTGAGGCTCACTGCCAGCTATCCTACTCACATCTGTTATCTGGCTGGGGTCCAGCTTCAGCTCAGTCACTGTGTACAGTGGTCTCTCTAGTGCCCTTCAGTCTTTCTATCTTTCCCAGCCTTGACCCCTTAAGTGCACGAGTTGACTGTAGATGCTCCCTTATGTGGGCTCTCTGGTGTTTGTCTGCTCATGACTAGGCCTAGCTTGGGTTCTGTGGGCAGGAACATTGCAGTGGTGACACCAGATCCTTCTCAGACACCCAGTCAGGAAACCTGTGATATCCCTTTGCTCCATTCCTGATGACATAAGCTTGGTCCCTGGGCTAAGAGTGTCAGGCATGTTTTTCCAGTGTAAAGTTAAATTTGTACTTTGTGCCTAAATTATTACTGATGATGTAGTGGGAAGATATGTTGAGAGTATGTAATTACCAATCATGTTAGGATCCACTGTTAATTCTTGGTCAAATCAATTATTAATAGAGCAGTTGCCAAGTGTTGTTTTTAACTTCATCTCTCCTGCATTTGTTAAGTGGTAAGGAAGACTTTTCCCTGTTTATTTATTCAAATATATCAGTGTGGACCTGGGGGTCATTGTATGAGTCAACATGTTGTGATTGGTTACCCCCATCGTTATATTGATATCCAGATTGTCTCTGGCTTGGCCAGCAGGAGTCCCTAACTGAGGCTTCTTTTTACATCACCATCAGGACTCCAGCCATGCCTTTTGCCTCCTATGGCCTCCACCACACCAGCCTCCTGAAGCGACATATCTCTCATCAGACATCTGTGAATGCAGACCCTGCCTCCCAGGAGATCTGGAGATCAGAAACTCTCCTCCAGGTGAGCCAATGAGGCTAATCTCTGCCTCCGTTTCAGACAGACTATTCAGGGGGAGGAAAGTGGGGAAAGGGAAGTAAAAAGAATTAAAATGTGTTACGTACGTGTACCAACTTCTCACAATGAATGTTAATAATTATGTCCTGAAAACATGTGTTAATTAAAAAAAAACAAACCTCAAAATGTTCAGCCATTTTCCAGCATGTGGAGTGGAGTTCTGAAGCCTGAGGGTGGTTCTAAATGTTGGTATTTTCATGCTGTGACATATAAAAAATAGATAAGAAACCTATGCATACACGCATACCCGCTGAACCCAGGGGATCATGCTTGCTAAGCAAGTGCTCTACCAGTGAGCTATCTCACTCACCTTTCCTTGGCAGTACTGGGGATTGACCCCAGGGGCTTCACACTTGCTGTTAAGTGAGCAGCTCCACTACTGAGCCATATCCCCAGGGCCTTATTTTGTAAGACACAGTCTTGCCAAGTTGTCCAGGCTAGACTTGAACTTGGGGTTCTCGTATCTCAGCTGGGATTATAGGTGTGTACTACCATGCCTGGCCCATCCCCTTCTGCCCTATATGTCATTGAGAATGTTTTCCATCCCAAGCTCCCTTGTCCACATAATTTTTTTCCCCCCTCTCAGGGGGGTATAATCATTATAGCCTTTTAGTTTCTAGTAGATCAGTGTAAATGCTATTCCCCCATTCCCACCATGACCCTCTGACCTCCCATGTTGTTGGAGAGGTTTCCCCCTGATTACCACCTTATTAATATTAAATCCTGCCACAGAAGCTTTTTCTTTGGCTTTTTGAGAAGGTCCTTGGTGTAGGCTGACCTTAAGCTCACTGTGTAGCCCAGGCTGGTCTCTAACTTGTGGCAGTTCTCCTGCCTCAGCCTCCTGAGTGCTAGGATTACAGATGTCCACCAGCATGCCTGGATTAGAAGCATTTTTATGATGCTGAAGGGCAAAGTTCCTCTGAAGCCCCCAGCTTGGTGGTTAGGGAGCCCCCTGCACGTTACGTCAAGAGATGCAAATGGGAACAGTCAGAGTCCTGTGTCTGCCCTGGTAGGCTCCAGCCTCTCAATAGGAATCGAAGAGGAGACTGGTGGTGTAGATGGCCCAAGCTGATGTGGGCTCTGGGCTGTGCTGGCCATGAGGTGGACAGATGACTGAGACACAAGCTGGCAAGACAGAGTTGAAGGGTTCTGTTTCCTGGACCAGAGCACTAATGCTTTTTTAATAAAACATTTTAATTATGGTAAAGTATATATAATATAAATTTTGCCATCTTAACCATTTCTAAGTGTACTGTCCAGTAATGTTAAGTACATTCACACTGCTGTGCAGCTAACCTCCAAAATGCTTTGTTATCTTTAGAAACTAAAATCCCTTAAATAACTCCATTTCTCCTCTTTACCCTGGAACCACTATTCTGCCTTCTGTTTCTAAGAATTTGACCACAGCACTCTAGGTACTTCATGTCTAGAGAATTTAGCTAGATTACACAGCTTTTGTTTTTTGTAACTAGCTTATTTCGCTTAGTATAAGGTCCTCAAGGTTCATCCATGTTGTAACATGTATCAGAATTTTCCTCCTTTTTATGGCTGCATAATATCCCACTGTATGGATGTACACATTCTGCTTAGCCATTCATCTGTCAGTAGACACCTGGATTGCTTTGGCTTTTTAGCTCTTGGGAATAAGGCTGCTATGAGCAGGAGTGTATAAATATCTCAAGTCCCAGCTTTGAGAACTTTTGGGTATACCCTGGAATGGAACTGTTGGAGCATAGTGTAATTCTGTTTTTGGTTTGTCTTGTACATGCCAGGCAAGCATTCTACCAGAGTTACATCCCCAGTCCTTTTAATTATATTTTGAGACAGTGTCCCCACTAATTTGCTCAGGTTGTCTTTGAACTTGCAGTCCTCCTGCCTCAGCCTGCCAGGTTTAATTTTTTTTCCTTGTAGTACTGGGGATTGAACCTGGGGCCTTTACTACATTCCCAGCCCATTTTTTATTTTGAGACATGGTTTATCTAAATTGCAGAGGCTGGCTTGATTGTTTCGTGTTTTGTTATATTTTGTTTTGTTTTGTTTTGAGACGGGGTCTCTGTAGTTCAGGCTGTCCTTGAACTCACTGTGTAGCCCAGGTTGGTCTTGAACTCACAGTGATCCTCTGCCTCAGCCTCCTGAGTGCTCGGATTGCAGGCGTGTGCCACAATGCCTGGCTGTGTGTTTAATTTTTTTCCAAGTACCACCCTACAGCTTTCAACAGTTTCAGTGCCATTTTTTTATTCCATCAGGAGGATACAGGGTTCTTGTTTCTTCATATCTACAATATGCCTTGTTATTTTCTGCTTTTGTGATAATAGCTGCTCCAAGAGCTAGTGCTGTCTCCTTGTTTTGATTTTCATTTCCCTAGTGGATAGTGATGTTTAGCCTCTTTTCATGTGCTTAATTGGCCATTTGTATATCTTTAAAGACTGAGACAGGGTGTCCCTTTGTAGTTCAGGCTGGCCTTAAACACACTGTAGCCCAGGCTGGCTTTAGCCTCCCAAGTGTTGGGATTACAGATGTGTGTCACCTTGCCCAGTTCCTTTGAATCAGATTGTTTGATTTTTTGTTGTTGTTGAGTTTTAGAATTTCTCTAGATATTCTGAATGTAAATTTCTTATCAGATATGTGGTTTGCAAGTATTTTTTCTCATTCTGTAGGTTATATTTTTATTCTATCAATAGTGTCTTTATTTATTTATTTATTTATTTTTTGAGGCAGGGTCTCAATATGTAATTGAGGCTGGCCTTGAATTCACTATGTAGTCCAGGCTAGCCTCGAACTTGTGTCAATCCTCTTGCCTCGGCCTCCTGAGTGCAGTAGTGTGTTTTAGCTCATCATGGTAGTGCTTGCCTAGAATCCCAGCAGTGTGAGGGGCTGAGGTAAGAGGAGCACCGTTTCAAGCCCAGCCCAGGCAACTGAGCAAGTTAGTGAGGCCTTGTGTCAAAATAAAATTTTTTAAAAAGGCTTAGGGATGTAGCTCAGTGTGAAGGCCCTGGATTTAATTCCCAGTACTGCTACCCCCCAAAAAAATCTTTTGATGTTATTCTGTTGTCTCTTTCTTTCATTACCTGTGCTTTTGCTACCATGTCAAAGAAGTCATTGCCAGATCTGAGGTAGTGAAGGTTTCCCCTCATGTTTTCTTCTGAGTTGCATGGTTTTAGCTTACATTTAGTTTGAGTTAATTTTTTTAAGACAGTGTTGTAGTCCAGGCTAACCTTGAATTTACTGTTTAGCCCAGGCTGCCCTTGAACTCTTGGTAATCCTCTTGCCTCATTCTCCCAAATGCTGGGATTACAGGCTGTTTCACCATGCCAAGCTGAGTTAACTTTTTTATAAATAAGTTTCCAATTTCATTCTTTTATATACTGATACACTGTTTCCCCCTCACCACTTGTTGGAGAGATTCCATTCCGCCTGGACTGATCTTGGCCCTGTTCAACATTTTGATCAGCTAATGCTCCTTTGCAGGTGTTTGTTGAAATGTGGCTTCACCATTATTCCTTGGAAATGTATCAGAAAATGCAGTCCCCTCATGCCAAGGTATGTTTCCAGTTGTTCTTCCTGTTTTCTGCTTTGGCTCTGGTCAACTTGCTATTTCTTGTTCTTAGTCTTAAGTTACTTGTCACAACCTGGATGGTGGGAAGCAGCCCACCATCCACCTTTCATTCAGATGCCTAACACAAGGTGGGTATTGTTTTTTAGTATGAGGGTCTTATATTGCAAGGGCTGGGCCCTGGCACTTGGAGGTGTGTCCTTTCTGGGTCCTCCCTGTGTGGTTATCAGGGGAACAACAGATTCTGGTGCTCTTGCTATGGGGGTAGGGGAAGCTGCAGATACCTCTGGGAGTCACTTCTGAGTTTCTCCATTGCCATCAGCAGTATCTTTGTGCTCTCAAGAGAGGTGATGGCCCTGGTTGGATACCTGCCACTGTGGTGAATTTGAATATTCTTTTTCGGCCCATGTTGTCCTTACCTCCTCAAGAGCATCAGAAGCAGCCATTTTTGTGGTGGGTGGGGCCTTCTCTTCTGCATGTGCCCTGGTCTTTCTCCTCTTCCTCCTCCTCATTCTCCTCTTCCACCTTCCTCCCTTCCTCTTCCCTGGCCCTTCCCCTACTTCCTTCCCTTGGCAGCACACTTATTTGCAAACGATGAACATAGGAGAGTCCCTGGAACCTCCTGGTGTTGCTATCCCTGGGCCAGGCACTCTACTGGGCTCTCCAGAGTGAAATGGTTCTGTTCAGTTAGTGAGTGGTCCATGGACACTTAGAGTCACAGATTCACATACTGTGAAACAATTTGAATCTGGTCTGGTGCCCAAGGCACTGTCACCACCAACACAGTCTGATGCCTGTGGCTTCTGGCATCAGTTTGCTCCGTAGACTTTGTTGTTGGGTGTTTTTTTTTGGTACTGGGGATTGAACTCAGGACCTTGAACTTGCCAGGCAGGCGCTGTGACTCTGAGCTACAACCCCAACCCCTGCTCTGTAGACTTTGATTTGTCAATGCCAGGCAAAATTCTGGAGGGGTTCCTCAAGAATGAAGAGTCTAGGGGGCTGGGGATTTAGCGCAGTGGCACCACGCCTGCCTCAAAAGCATAAGGTCCTGAGTTTGATCCTTGGCACCATTAAAAAAAAAAAAAATAAAGAATGAATGGTAGCACATGCCCGTAATCCCAGCACTCTGGAAGGTTGAATGGGAGGATTGAAAGTTTGAGCAATTTAGCAGCCTGGGCAACTTAGAATTTAGCAAGACTTTGTCTCAAAATAAAAAAAGAGCCAGCTGTAGTGGTGCATACCTCTAATTACAGGCATCACAAGTTTGAGCTATCCTGGGAAGTTTAATAATTTAGCAAGACCCTGTCTCAAAATAAAAAAATAAATAAGAAAGGAGCTAGCTGTGGTGGTACATGGCTGTAATTCCAGCACTCTGAGACGCTGAGGTGAGGGATCACAAATTGGAGCTCAGCCTGGGCAATTTAGCAAGATTGTCTCCAAATTAAAATATATATAGAGAGAGAAAGGCCTGAGGATACAACTCAGTGCAAAGGCACTTAGTTCAATCCCCAGTGCTGGAAAAAAAATAAAAAAGTTAAAATTGAGAAGAGTATCCTGTAACTGAACTCCGATTTTGGGGAGAGACCATTGTTCTGCTCCTGCTTTTACTCCAGTTTCTGTAGCCAATTCTAAGACCCCAGTGCTGTCAGTGTGGAGGATGGGGTTTGGCTCCCACTGCTCCTCTTAAAGCACAGGGTGCTCCAATACTTCATCTTTGGCATCACCTAGGAGGAGGAAAATGGGGAAAGGCCCAAGACTCTATCCATCCTGGGCTTCTTGAGCCACCAAGAGCCTGTCATGTCCTGCCTGCTTCCTGTACAGACCTCCTGCATGTTTCTGACTGGGAAATGGTGGTCTGGGGGCTGGGTTTCCCCTCAGTTTGTTCTCGGGTCCTGCCTCCTGTCCTGGGCTCCTGGGAGGTGCTCAGCTCTGTGCATCTGTCTTGGCTGTGCAGAAGCAGGGGTTGCTTTGCTGCATTGTCTTCCTGTCTGCCCATGGTGTCTTCTGAGTGAATGACAGTCACACTACTTTCAAGGGCCAACCAGAAAGACCTTTCTGGACAGTCACCTGTGTCTTCACAGGCTGGGGGAAGGCTGTCCCTGTTCTCATAGAGAGGCGCCTTCCCCTTTGTCCCCACATTCGCTTCTTCTTGGACAGACCTTAGGGGGATGAGACTTACCAGAATGACTGCCATTGAGAGGCCTGGGCGTCCAAGAGGCTCAGCCCTTTGGTTCCTCCTATTGAGGCAGGAAAGAAAAAAAAAATACAAGAAACCTGTGGATAGACACTGAGGAAAATAGCTGCAATGGTCCTGCCATCTAAGGCCTCTTACTGTTTATCAGGGCTTGCACTATGCCTATCTTACACAGATCCTTGCCATCCCTGCTTACCCTTGATTTCCAAATGCTGGAAGTGCAGCACCTGAAGTCCTACTCTGGGTCCAAGGCATGTGTTCACTGACCAGTGGCTGGGGGCAATGATGGCTATGGCCCTGGAAGTGGTCATGGTGCCAGCCTTGTGTTCTCACAGGAAGGGGCAGGGACTTCACTGGGACTTTGCTCCTTGGTTCCTCCCTGAGCCTGCGGTCTGGCCCAGAGGAAGGCTGTGAGGGGCCTTTGCCATCCTCTTGTGCTCTTGTCTCGCTGCGAGTCACCTCAGTGCCTGGCAAGTGTGTTCTGACCTGTGTGAAGCCCCGTGGGCATGCTGCTTGGGCAGGAAGTATGCTGGGTGCCACTGGGCTGTGCTTGGCTGAAGGGCAGCAATGCTGCAGGGAGGTAGGGTAGAGAGTCCTGGGGTGGGAGCTAGGCATCTTTCCAGCTCTGCTGTTACCCCTGCTGTCCAGGCCTGTCCCAGCCTCAGTCCTGCTGACTTTGTGGATATATGGGGGCTCCTTCCCTTGGGAGCCCTGTGCACTTGGAAGGCAGAGTCCTAGTGAGTTAGGAAAGACTATTTTCCCAGAATTATAACTAATGACCACAGAATGTGGGAGAGTGTAGGGTGTGTGGGGCAGAGGGTGGGCCTGTCACCCTCAGTCTGTGCTGCCCTTGGGAGCCTATCTTTGGCAACCCATCCCTGCCCTCAGTTCTGAGAGAAAACCATTCATGGAAGGGACATTGATTATGTTTTGGACACATAAGAATTGATCACATCCTATACGGTATCTACTGATTTGGTAAATTTCTTCTCAAGTCAACCAAGGAAAAGCCAATAAGTTACAGTCATCCCTCAGTATTTGGGGGGACTTGTTCCAAGACTCTCATGGATACCAAAATCTTCATGGATCCTCAAGTCCTTTATGTAAAATGACACAGTATTTCCATATAACCTGTATATATCCTCCCATATGTACTAAGTCATTTTTAGGTCACTTATGAAACCTAAGAATCAAAAGTATACCTACCAGTATAAATATCATATAAATAGTTGTACAGTATTATTAAGGAAACAGTGGTAAGAAAGTTGGGGGAAAAAGACCGTAGCTCAGTGGTAGAGCACTTGCCTAGCACAGGGAAGCTCCTAGGTTCAATCCCCAGTACTGAATGAATGAATGAATGAATGGGTAAAGAAGAAAGATAGCCTGTACATGTTAGGTACAGATGCAGCCCCCAACCCCTTCATGTGTTGGTTTAGTTGATCAAACCTGTGTATGCAGAGGGCCAACTGTCCACATTTTTGTTTTTGGGGTAGAGAGTCCTTCTGAAACTGGCTCCTCAAAAATATCTTTCCTGAGCCTTGAGGCCTTCTGTGCTTTGATGACAATCAGCATATCCCAGTTAGAGTCCTGGGCTGTGGGGGCAGGTACCACATAGTGTGGTCTCAAAGTTGGGGAAAGCACCTTTGATGACAGAGTTGAAGAGGCTGTCAGCCCCAGCAACATGAAGGGGGTTCCCCAATAATCTTGAGGGTCCATTTGTATCTCAGCCTATAAGGCCGAGGAGGGTGCCCAACATGGGGCTGGCAGCAGATTTGCCTGTGGTTTGAGTCCTGGGTTTGGGCCACCAAGAGGGGTGGTGCTTTGCTGGCCCCAGGATGCTGGGGCTGTGATTGTTTGGATTGTCACTGACGTGCTTTTGTTTTTGTTTTTGTTTTTTGTTTTTTGTTTTTTGTTTTTTTCTTCCTCCATCTGGGCTCCTTCTCACTGTTTTTTCTTCTTTCCCACTTCCCCTTCCCCCTGCCCTGTCCCATGTCTCCCCTTCCCCACCTTGCCTTGTCCTCTGCCCTCCTGCCTCTTCTTGGCTTCTCTCTGTGTGTTGTCTCAGCTGGAGGTTCTGCACTACAGACTCAGTGTCTCCAGCGCCCTCCACAGCCCTGCCCAACCCAGCCTCCAAGCCCTCCACGCCTACCAAGTACTGGCTGCTGTCGTTTCCTTCCCTTCCCCGCCCCACAGTACAGAGTGCCTGTCAGTGCAGTGGTAGAGTGAAGGTCTGGCTGAGGCCTGCTGCAGGCGATTGAGAGGCTAGTTCTGAGCAGCATAGTATGTAGGTTCAGGCAACTTGTAGATTCTTGGAGGCAAGTGAGAGCAGGCAGTGACATCATGGAGACTGTGGTCTGCTTGGTAGTAGCGACAAGTATGTGGACGGATTTGAGGTCAATGAAAATGAATTCAGACTAGGGTGTTTCAGGGACAGTGAAGTTAGCTGATTTGTGAGAAGAGGCTGAGGTCACGGGCACAGCTCTGTCCATTTCATCTCATCTTGGGTGTGAAGGAGCACATGAGAGCTATGTTTGAATTTGAGCCAAGATGCTAAATCATGGTGTGAGATGGGATGGTAACTTCAGTGGAGCTCACAGTGGAGATCTTGTTCAGAAGAAGCAGCTGCGCTGAGGAAGGAGGAGAGGCTCCTTGGGAGGACCAAGTGCTGAGCAAGCTTGGCCGAACCTGGATTCAGCCTCTGTTCAGCCTCAATAGCAGGAGAATTGAGAGTCCTTAAGAGGCGGGGCCCAGTGGGAAATGCTGTGGGGTTTGGAGACATGTTCTTAAACTTCTAAAAAATTTTTTTGTCTGTGCTGGAGATTGAATCCAGGGCTTTGTACATAGTAAGCAAGTGCTATTACCACCAAGCTATACCTTCAGCCCCTGGGACATGTCTTTAAAAAGTGAGCCGTGGTAGGGACTGGGGATATGGCTCAGTGGTGGAGTCTGCCTAGTATGCGTGAGGCCCTGGATTGTGGCCTCAGCACTGGTGGAAGAGGCCAAGTGCAACTGTGGCCCCAGATTCTGTGTAGAGTTTTGGCTTGGGAAGAGAAGAGAGTTGAGAGAGAACTTTAGCTTAGCAAACGTAGCATAAAAATAGAAAAGGAGAAGGATTCAAAGTTGGGGTGTGTGTGTGTGTCGGAATCTGGCCCCGATGCTCTTCTGGTCTTTTAGTATTAGTATTAATGCTATTATTGTATGTCTTAGTTCATTTCTGTTGCTAATAGCACAGTACCACAGGCTAGTAAGTTACAGAGATTTCTTTTGGCTTACAGCTTTGGTCCAGAGTCTGCAGTGGTGGCGAACCTGTGGCAACATGTGCTGCAGCACGCTGTTTGTATCATTGAAAGCTCTTAAAGGTTCACCGTCACTGGTCTAGGGCTACATCTGATGATTGATTGCCTTATGCTCACAGAGTCCTGAAATGGCATAGAGCATCATCACATGGCAGGAGGCAGGGAACATGAAAGAGACCTAGCCTGGCTTTCAGAGCTGACCCTCTCCATGTGACCCATTCTTTCATTAGTTGAATGATTGGATTAATCCATTTGTGAAGGCAGAGCCCTAGGTGCTTGGTAAAGGTCTTGCTTGGCGCTACCTCTTAATACCTTGTAATGAAGATTAAAATTCAGCATGAGTTTTACAGGGGACAAGCTACATCATTATTTTATACTTAATAAGCAGAGGAAAATAACCTCCCACCCACAGTTCCATCTTTACATTAGGTCAGCGATGGTGTCACCTGGATATGTGGGGGCATTTTCATGACAGAGAGGCCTGAGGCCAGTACCTCAGGGCTGGACCCTGTGCCAGATGCGAGGACCCTGGACCCTATTGCAAGATGTTTGAAACCCAGAGGGCTGGGGATGAGTGTGGGGTCCTGCCTTCAGATGTCCACTGCCTCCCCCACAAACCCCCAGTCCTCTTCCAAGGCTCCACTGAGCCCACCTTCACTTGAGTGCTGAACAGCTGGGAGAGCCCTGCGGCCAGCAGAAAGGCTTTCCTCACTCACCGGTTTTGACCTCCAAGATCCTGTGTATCACGAGTGAGAAGTTAAGGTTGCCCTTGTCCTGAGGATATTGGCTGACTACAGGTCCACTGGCGGGAGAGGACTCCTCTGGGGCTGAGTCCCTGTCTAGCTGTGACTAGGAGAGGAAGCAGGTAGGGGAGTCAGGGTTGTGGCCAGAGAACGAACTGGGGAGAAAGAAGTTCCCTCTACTAAAAGGTGAGCCCTGAGAGCTTTCTGTACACACCCAGGAGGCAGTCGGGTGACCCCGGGTTCAGAGCTCTGGTGGGCTGCCCCTGTCCCTGGTCCTCTGGCTGGCTAGAAGGTAGGGACCCCTGAGGCTAGCACAGGCAGCAATGCATTGGGGCACATAGCAGTATGTTACAGCAGTGGGGTTTTTGGTACACTGGAGAGCACTTTACAGTGTGTCTTTCAGCTGGCCCTCCCTAGGGCAGACTGGCCATGAGCTGGGCCATGCGCTTCACTGCTACAGGTGACACGAGACTCATACTGAATGCCAGGCACAGTGGGATCCCAGGGGGTGGCCCTACTCCTGTCTTGTGCCTCCTATGGGGTGGGAGAGTGGCCAGCCGAGGGGCAGAATGTGCCCCAGGATCCCTGGGTCCTGACGGCCTCTTTCCCCACCTTAGGAGTCATTCACACCCTCCGAGGAGCACGTGCTAGTGGTGCGCCTGTTGCTGAAGCACCTGCATGCCTTTGCCAACAGCCTGAAGCCTGAGCAGGCCTCGCCCTCAACCCACTCCCATGCCACCAGTCCCTTGGAGGAGTTCAAACGGTGGGTGCAGGCTGGCAGGGCTCCCTTGACTTCTGGCTTCCTCATCCTTCACACCACATGCCCACTGTGACTTTCACCCAAGACATGGGGTGGGACAAGGCAGCCTGCTGAGAGCATGGAGACCTCAGCTGGGCTAAGGAAGTGCCAGATGCCCTAACCCCATGGCAGTCTGTCTCACCCCACTCAGGTCCAGAGCTGCTGGGGCTGCCCTACTGCTTCTGTTCCCAAAGCTTCCTCTCCAGACCTCCCCTTTTCAGTGGCCAGAGAGAGACCCTGTCTTGCTACTCTGGCTTGTCCCTTCCTTCCCATTGTCAGGGCTAAAGTGAGAGGCTGTCCTAATGGCAAACTGCCACCTTCGTGCCCCACCCCCCGCTCCCCCTTACCCCCCACCTTCCGGAGACTGGGGCCAGCAGAGCAGGTGACTGGTGTGGGGCTGAGAGGTTTGTGTAAGAATCGTACTGGCCCAGCTCCCTGTGTGCTGTGTCCTCAGGATATTCCCTGACCTCTCGGAACCTTGGTTTCTTCCTCTGAAAAATGGGACTAAAAACAGGTCTTACCTCCAAGGGAGTCCTCAGCACTCCTTGGTGGCAGCCAGTGACCTCCTTATCCCCTCTAGGGCCGCTGTCCCGAGATTTGTCCAGCGGAAGCTCTACCTCTTCCTGCAGCACTGCTTTGGCCACTGGCCCCTGGATGCTTCCTTCAGAGCTGTAAGTTCTGGCCCCCTTGCACCTTCACTTTTTGCCCTCTGTTCTGAGGGAGGGAAGTGATGGCTACCTTGAGAGGCCATGGAAAGGAGGTCTTGAAAGGTTATTGTTCTGCTGGTTGGCATTTCCAAAGCTGACTCTGCGGTACAGAAAAGCCCCACCACACCCTAGCTGTCAGCATTGGGAGGAGGGTGTCTTCTGGCCTCTCCCGGCTGCGCTGGGCACACTCATGAGCCTGGTTCTTGAAGGGCTGCTGTGAAGGGCAAATGTCCCTATGATATGCAAGTTCCTCCTGTGCTCTCTTGGGGGGATGTGGGAGGAGCTGATCCCACTGACATCTGTACGGAGGTCAGAGGCCAGAACATGGTGGCACCCTACCCTTCCACGGGCCATAGCTAAGGCTATGGTCCTTTCCACCTCAGCTGCTCCTTGGGAATCAGGCTGCATGCCACCCAAGAATGTGATTGAAAGACCCTCAGTCCCATGGCTGCCAGGCCTTCAGGAGGCACATTTCCCTCACTAGGTCCTGGAAATGTGGCTGAGCTACCTGCAGCCGTGGAGGTACGCATCTGAGAAGCAGCCTCAGAGCAGTGATTCCCAACCCCGGTGTGTGTCGGAGAAATGGTGAGGCCTTGGCCCCTCTTCCTCTCAATTCCACTGTCTCCCATGCATGGGTTCTGCTTCAATGGGCAGACAGCTGGGGGAGCCTGTGTTTGGGTTGGCCTTACTCTGCCTCTGGTGGCCTCCTGAGCTCTTTTTCCAAGCCCTACATGGTGGGTGCACAGGCCAGCCTTTCCTGGACTGAGCTTTGTCCCCAGAAGGGATTTTCTAAGGACATGTAGGCGAGCCTCTGCCTGTCTCCTTGCCCTTCTCCTTCTGGCTCAAATCAGTGTCCCAGGATGCCCCTAAAGCCTCCTTCCATCTTTCTTTACCAGCTCAGAGCAGCAGCACCCTGGTCACCTCCAACTTGCTCCTCACAGCTGACCTCCCCTCAGGCCTCCACCAGAGGCCATTAAACGTTTTTCTCCCGAACCAAAGGCTTCTCCTCACCCATCTGCTGTTTCTTCCCTCTGCCCATCAGGCTTCAGACCAACCTTGCTGGGTGGCCTTGTACCTCTTGGAAGGAGCCCCATTCTTGAGGACCACTGTCCTCAGAGGGTCTGGGTCTTGCCTCTTCCTCCCTGGACACTAGAGCTGCGGTTCACAACACCTTCATAAGGTCTTGTCCAGGGAGTCTGGAAGCCAAGAGCTTTAGGGGTAAGGACCAGGCTCCAGCAGGTGGTCTTGACCTGCCATCCTGGCCCCCAGGGCACCCTTTGTCCAGGAGAACCTGCTGGTGTACACCAAGCTCTTCGTGAGCTTCCTAAACCGTGCACTCCGCACAGACCTGGTCAGCCCCAAGAACGCGCTCATGGTGTTCCGAGTGGCCAAAGTCTTTGCCCAGCCCAACCTGGCTGAAATGATCCAAAAAGGTAAGTCATCAGTCCTGGGACAGCTGGATTGTCTTTGTCAGGAAGCAGCACGTAGAGACCCAGGGAAGGCTGTGTGCCTCATGGGGTTGCAGGTGGCTCTGTTCAAGGTTGGTTTGGGGAAGTCTCTGAGCCTGACTGAACCCTGCCTTCCCTGTGGCTGGACTCCGGGCTCTGTGTGCCTGACAGGAGTGGAGTGGAACCACCCACTGTGTGTAGCTCCTCTGGTGCCTTGTGGTGTAGATCAGGAGATGGTCTTGGTCCCCAGCATGCTGTTGTCTCGATGCTGGCTTCCTTTTGGTGCTGCCAGGGGCTCCTTGAGCATCAGGAGCTGGTCCTCAGGCTGCCAGCCCTGCCCACAGGAACTGTTCTGGAGCCCTTCCAGGAGCACCAGCAATCTGGCCTGCGAAGCTGGAGCCAGACTCGAGCCCTGCCTTCCAGGTGAGCAGCTATTCCTGGAGCCGGAACTCGTCATCCCCCATCGCCAGCACCGGTTCTTCACAGCTCCTACTGTCACTGGCAGCTTCCTGTCTCCGTGGCCACCAGCCATCACTGACGCCTCATTCAAGGTGAAGAGCCACGTTTACAGCCTGGAGGGCCAGGACTGCAAGTACACCCCAATGTTTGGGCCTGAGGTCCGGACCCTGGTGAGTGATCTGAGGTGCTCCTGGCGTGGGGTCCCTGTAGCTGTGGGAACCAACAGAGCTGGGAAGGCACCCAAGTTTCAGAAAAGGAAGGAGGTTGTGTGTTGAGTAGACATACTGCTGTATCTCCCTCTTCCTGTTCTTTTTTCCAGTAAAGACTTTTTTTTTTTCTGATAATAAAGGCAGAGTTCAGAATTTTTTCACATTTAAGAGATCACCCATATGCCCGGTGTGGTGGTGCAGGCCTGAAATCTCAGCATTTGGGAGGCTAAGACAGGAGGATCAACAGTTCAAGGCCAGCCTGGGCTACGTAGTGAGACCTTGTCTCAAAAAAACAAAACAAGCCAGGTGTGTTGGTGCACACCTGTAGTCCCAGCACTCAGGAGGCTGAGGCAGGAGAATCGCCTCGAGTTCAAGGCTAATCTGGGCCACATAGTGAGTTCAGGGCCAGCCTGAACCTGAAGCGAGACCCTGTCTCAAAAACAAAAGAAAACGGTCATCTGTAAGTCACCCCTCTTGATCCCTCACCCATCTGGTTGTAAACTCCTGACCCCAGGTCACCCTCACTAGATGATAGCACAGCCCTGTCCTGTGTGTGGCCAAGTGCTGGGAGTGCCCCTCATCCAAGCCATTTGTCCCTGTATCTCCCTCACAGGTGTTGCGCCTTGCTCAGCTCATCACACAAGCCAAGCAGACCGCCAGGTCCATCTCTGACCAGTGTGTGGAGAGCCCCCCTGGCCGGTCCTTCCTGTCATGGCTGGGCTTCTGCCCCACAGACCCAAACAGCTATTACCCAGCCAACGACCTGGACGAGATGGGCCAGGACAGCATCCGCAAGACAGATGAGTACCTAGAGAAGGCCCTGGAGTACCTGCGCCAGATATTCCGAGTATGAGCCCTGGGGCTTGTCCCATGGCCAGCATGGTCCTCTCCCTGAGGGATTTTCTTCTCACCCAGCCCATGGCCAGTCCCAGGGCCTGTACAAGCCTCCAGCATGGCTTCTGTCCAGGGCCTCCCTCCTCCTCCTGGGGACTCATCTCGTAGTTGGGTTTGCACCTAAGGTCAAGGGGCTGGTGGGATGAAGACTAGTTCCCATCCTTTATCCTTCACCTTGAAATTGAAAGCAGAGGTGTTTCTCTCTGACAGCTCAGTGAAGCCCAGCTCGCCCAGCTCACACTCACCCTGGGGACGACGCAGGACGAAAATGGGAAGAAACAACTCCCAGACTGCATCGTGGGGGAGGATGGGCTCATCCTCACAGCCCTGGGCCGCTACCAAGTAAGAGGCCTCTGTCATCCTGTGACTTGTTCTCAATTCCATCTTGTCCCAGTAAACAGAAACGGCTCTTCTGGGCTGTTGACAAAGATATGTCCTCTGAATTGTCCTTGTGGCCTGCGTTTCTAGATCATCAATGGGCTGCGGAGGTTTGAAATTGAGTACCAGGGGGACTCAGAGCTACAGCCCATCCGGAGCTACGAGAATGCCAGCCTAGTCCGAGCACTCTTCCGGCTGTCATCTGCCATCAACCGTAGAGTGAGTAGGCAGTAGGGGTGGGCCCAGCTACTTCTGGGATGGTTCCAAGGGATGCTCCTGGCCCGGGACAGCAACCCCACCCCCATACCCTCTTGCCTGTGAGCTGTGGAATACTCCTGATGGAGAGTGACCCTGCCTGCGAGAATTGCTCGAGTCCTGGGGTGGCCTGAGAGGGAGGATGCTATGTTGCCCTAAGGCCCATGGCACGTGCTGTCACCATCCCATCTGAGATTTTGTGTTCCAGTTTGCAGGCCAGATGGTTGCTCTGTGTTCCCGGGATGACTTCCTTGGCAGCTTCTGTCGATACCATCTCATTGAGCCTACACTGGCCAACAGGCACCTGCTGAGCCCCGTGGGGCAGAGGCAGGCGGCCAGCCATGCTCGGGGCCCCAGACTCAGCCTGCGCTTCCTGGGCAGCTACCGAACACTACTCTTCCTCTTGCTGGCCTTCATCGTGGCCTCTCTGTTATGCATCAGACCCCTACCCTGCACCCTGCTCCTTGTCCTGGGCTACCTCCTCTATGCCATAGCCATGACATTGCTGACAGAACGGGGAAAACTTCACCAGCCCTGACAGGGTGGCTGTTGTCTAGAGAACTCCCTGGTAGGATTTGCTGCACTAGGCTGAGAAGCCCTGCTGCTTCCAAACCAGAGTGTGGTCATCTTTGGACTCCTGGGGAGTGTTTTCCTGCAACCATGGAGTCATCCAGATGAAACTGAAATGAGAAGAGAGACTGACAAGGAAGAGGCAGTGTCAGAGGGCTCTGTGTGACAACCAGAGCTGGCCACAGCCATTCACTGTGCCAGCCCAAGGCCCTACAAGCAGCTGAGCTAGTCTTGGAGGCCTTTGTAACCATTTGAAGATTTTTCCATTTGAAGATTTCTCCACTGTGGCTGTCCTTGAAGTGGGCAGAGTAGGTTGTGACATCTCTCCCCATGAGATGCCCCGATAGTAGCTTAGCCTCCCCTCCAGGCAAGAATCAGTTTCTAAAAGATTCCTGAGAAAACTAGGTAATGGCTCTCCTGATTCACTTTAAAGCGAAGGTTTGCTATCGGATTTGGCAAAGCAAGGATGGTTCCCTTGTATGTTCTCGCAGTGAGTCCAAAGCTGGGCTGAAGGCTCTACTTCTGAATTTCATGGCGACCCTCTCAGAGCATAGGATCCTACTTTACCTCTGGCTCCCAAGCCTCTGCAGCCTTGCACCACAAGCAAACGCTGGTTGTTGGCAGGTGGAGTGCTGTGGCAGGGTCCTGCTGGCTTCTTTCTGCAACCAGAGATGGCCAAGAGCAGTATTTGCTCCTCCATAAACCAAGTACTCAGAGACAGTAACCTTTTTGATAACACTGACATATACCTGGTGTATGACAACTACACGTTCACTGTCCAAAAAAAATCACCACAGTCTCACCTTTGTTCATCCTCCAGACAATGTACCACTACAACAGCATCTTGGTAGTGATATTAAACCAAGTCTTTGGTTTTGGTGTGTGGGGATTTTTTAAAAAAGAAAATAACATGTTTTCAAATTTTAACTGTTGGGCCTTGTGTTTTGATGTAATCTCAGGATACATTTTGGAGCCCATGATCAAAAATCAAACCAAAACCATAGTTTTAACCATGGATCTGAATAAACCTGTTTTTGCTTTGGAGTCTTGGTGTCGGCCCAAGCTCCAGTAGGTTCACCTGCACAGGGTGCCTATGCACTCAGGAACTGCAGAAACAGCTGCTGGATGTCCTGACCTCCAACCCTTACCCCAGGGGCCACGAGCCTGTTCATTGACATTTTGGGACTCAAAACCTTTCAGTGCCTGTCTCAAGCAGATGAGCTGTGGGCCAGATCGAAGGTCGGTCAGTGGGCCAGCTTCTCTGTTGGTCTTGTACCTTGCCCATCTGCAGCTGCCACCTTGCAGCTGCCTGTAGCTTGTTGGTCCCTGAGGAGAGCATCAGATCCTTAGGGAGATGGGCACCTATCAGCTCAGCCAGGGGCATCATTCTACTTTGTTTCTACTGGTCTCCATCCAATCCTGTTGATGAATGTGCCTTTAGTTCAGAGTTGGCCAAGGGTTTGAGGGGCATTCATAGCTTTGGGCTCCTCATCCTCTAGTTCCAGACTTATAAGCATTCCTCCATTAGTCCCTTTGATTTTGAGGTGCAGTACAGCCAAACTCCATCCTCTGCCTTATTGAGCCATTAAGCCCATGGCTTCCTATTTGAGATTTAGCTGACTACAGAGCCCATAGGGCAAAAGTAGCTCATCCAAGAACTACCTCCCTAGTTAGGCATGGTGGAACATGCCTGTAATTCCACCTATTTGCGAGGTTGAAGCAGGGGAATGATGAAGTCTAGCCTGGGTGATATAGGAAGACCCTGTCTCAGAATTTTAAAAGGGCTTGGTATGTAACTCAGTGATAACTACTTGCCTAGTATTCATGAGGCCCTGGGTTCAATCCCCAGTACTGAAAAACCCTCTGTGCCTTCATCTCCCCCACACCCCAATACTGGGGATTGAACCTAGGATCTTTTACAGAGCTACATTTTGACATGAGTTCTTGCTAAGTTGCCCAGGCTGGGCTCCAAATGTGATCCTGCCATACCCTCCCAAGTAGCTGGAATTGCACACCTGTGCCACTGAGCCTGCCTGAAAGTTGATTTGAACCTGTAACTATCTCCTATTCAAAAAGTGAAGTATTAAAAAGTGAGACAAAGCCGGACTGTAAAGCCAGATGGTTCTTACGTGTTACATCAGGTGTATTTACCTTGTAGACCCTGGCCACAGACCCCGCCTTAACCCCCACCCCCCCACGCCTTTGTTCCCATGATGACTGGGCACTACGCCAGGTTAGTCCTTGCAGCCAGCCTGGCGGGTTTGCAGAGGTGGTAGTAACGTCAGGAATAGAGCTGGGGATGTGGGCCGGGAAGTGGCCTCCTAGCTCAGCGACCGAAGGCTCCTATGGACGTTGCCCCAGTGCTGCTGGCCTCCAGCACATGGTGCCATAGTCCATGTGCGCAGCTCCAGCTCAAGTCAGGCGCAGAAGCGGGTCAGGTCAGCTCCCGGCGGGAGAACATGGGTGAATCCGGGTTGCAGGCTGGGCGCTGGGTCCCAGGAGAGACGGCCCCCACCTCCATCCCCTTCAAGTGACCCCAATTCTTGGTGGGGCTACATTAAGTCCAGAGAGGTCACGGGGCAGCATTGTGGGCAGCAGCACATTTTAGAGGGTTCACTCCACCAGCCCTCTCCTCCCTAAACAGGTTCAGGCCCACCTCATTGGTAAGAAAAGTTTTACAGAAGTTAAATACAGGAAATGCGAGTGTATAGCTCAATGAATTGTCACCCACTGAACACCAGATCAAAAATGAACCCTGCCTGGGACCCCTCCACCCTGTGGCCACGGCGTCATTAGCCAGTGTCTTCTTAACTGGGCCGAACTTGGTGCAGAACTTTCAGCCCTCTGTGATATGACTGCTCCTCACTCCCACCTCATAGTTTAGCTAGATCTCATCTGTCCCCTACCTACCAGCCCCCCGCCTCAATTTCTCCTTCCCAGATTTTGGTAGTTTGCCCAGAGTGCAAGGATTTGGTCACTGGACATGTCAGGACCTCCTTTCCAACACCTGCTAGAGGCTCACCCCAGTCACTGTGGCGTGTTGTGTGACCCAGCTCGCCTGGGCGGGGGGGTGGGTGGGTCAAGGCACCATGTGATCATCACATTCCCCATGTTCACTTATCTATGGCCAGGGACACCTGGAGGGCTGGGTCATCACCTCTTTTCCCCAGAGCCCAGGCATGGGTGGGCAGAATGGGCTCCCTGCAAATACCAGCAATGTGGTAGGGAAGGACAGGGAACAGCCAGGGGCATTTCTGGCCCAGGGCACCTAAGACAAAAGCTCTTTTTAAAGAGACAAGAGCTCTTGATGGAGAAAGCTAGAGGGACCCATGGGCAGGGTCCCATCAGCTATGGTCATCAGCCAGGACTGTGGGGCTCAGAAGGAGGGTGTGAGCAGTACAGCCCAAGCTGCTTCTGTGAGTGGTGTGGCTTTGAAAGTGAGGAAAGCATGTGCTGGCTTATGGATCTCCAGTACAAACTAGTCAGAAGCCATGGAAGAAAGGTGGAGACCCCTCAGCGCCCAACCGGAAGTTACCACCATCCACAGTGGCCCCTCCAGATTGCTTGTGCCCACTGGACTGCTCAGCCTAAGAAGACAAGATTCAGACGGAATGGCCTTGCCCATGGAGCCCTAGCCTTGTCACATGTTCTGTTGAGTGAGGTGCAGAGGGCCTCTTCTCCCAATCTGCCTCTCCCAGGAGGTTGGGCATCCTCACCAGTAGCAGCCCCTCCCCTGCCAATGACCACTGGGCCTGGGCTGTGGAGAATAAACCCGTGCAGGATGGGTCTTGGGCCTCTCATTCTATCCAAAAAGGAAGCCAGCTGCCAATATGGCTGTGTTCTGGAGCCTGCAGCAGGCACCACTTGCAGGCCCACACTTCAGACCCTCATCCAATGATCTCAGCAGCCCCTCCAAGGAGGCTGTTCCCATTTCCTTTCCAGAGGGGGGAACTGAGGCAGGGGATTCTTGGGTGCAGGTGGCTGATTGCAGTGCATGAGGGCAGTGACTCTTAAGGGCTGCAATGACTGGTCCTCTTAGGTCTGACCTGCAGTCAAATTTCAAGGCAAGGCCAGGCCCCAGCCTGGCTCTAAGAAGCAAGAGTTGAAAGTTGATGTCCCCCAAATGTTGGACTTGAAAGACAAGCCATTCACTGTGGCTACTGCTCCTGGCCACAGGACCACGATCTGGTGACCCTCGTTTCCCCACTTTGTTGGGATGTTGCAGAGCACATGTTCTGGGAAATCCAACTAGCAGGACAGGGTCCTGCTTCTCTGGAGTCCTGAGGTCCCCCAAAACCAGGCTGGAGAATCCCTGATGGGTAGAGTTGGAACCCAGGGCATCTTGAGGTCACAGCTGGCCCGAGGAACTGCTTGCCACCTGGTGCCCAGAGCACCCTGGTCAATGGGACCAGGGAGCTGGGCCCCATGGAAGCAGTGTAGACAGCCCTCTTTCCCACACGGGGCCATATTGGCATGGACACTGCCTGGAGGAAAAGGGGGTGTTGGGACCATTCCTGGAGGTCACCTCTGGGCTGAACAAGACCTCTAATTCAGGGGCAACCATACTGGGGGGTGAGGGGTAGGAGTGGCCCCCTGGGCAAGCCTGCCCCACACCTGTGCAACCTCACCAAGGTGCAGCAGCATGAAGTGGTCATCCAGCAGCTGTGGAACACCAACCTCCTGCAGGTGAGGCTTTGGGTGGAATGTGGCCCGGGTCCGCAAACACTCCATGCCTCTCCTATCTGTCCATGTCTTCAGGAAGGGTACCGGAGGCCCAGAGCTGCCCCCTAGGAGGCAAGTGAATGCGGCATAATGCACCACTTTTCCAGCCCAGAAGGGCTTCCTTCTCTGGTAGCCAGGATGCTGTGTGGCTTCCCAAGGTCTCCAACAAGGCCCTAAGAAATGATGAGTCCCTGGGCACTGAAGAGTAGTTGGCCCTGCAGCCTGTGCTCATAGGATTGGGTCTCAGAGGCAGACAGCCATGGCCTGGTTGGGCACCTGCTCTCAGCCTGGCTCTGTTCCAGGGTGTCCATGCAGCTGTGTGGAAATACTTGAGGGGATCTTCCTTTTCCCCAGCCTGATTCTGAGTCCCACTCCCTTTTTCTGAGTGTGTCATCTGCCTGAAGAGCAACTTCACTGAGTGGCAGAGAAGGCTGCTGGAGGTGCACAGCCAGCACTGGCACCACTCTGCAGCTGGGCTGGTCTTCACCCTTTTCACCTGAATCCTACTACTGTTAATGCCATGCTGATTCCAACATAAATGAAATCCATGACAGATACAACACTTCATCTCAACTGAGATACTATTTTCCTACTATTTTGTTGTGCAGCATATACAAAAAAGCATATTAGGAATTAAGTATTATCCTGTTTTATTTTTGTTTTTTGGTTTTGGTACCGGAGATCAAACTCAGGACCTTGTGCTTGCAAGGCAGATGTTGCACCACTGAGCTAAATCCCCGGCCCAGTATTATCCTAACTGTTGAAGGCTGCAAATAAAGCTTGTTTCTCCAAGTCCTAAGTCTCCTTCTCCACCAGTTTTCAGGTGTCTCCTGTCAGCCATTTGTTCCTAACCCTGCTCTCTGCAGGTCTGGAAGGCAGGTCCCTCTGGGGGACATACTGGACTACACATATTGGACACCCTGGGGGCACCCAATGCTGCTGATGTGTGGTCTTGCTGAGCTGCCTTCATCCTGGAAGGGCCACAGCAAGGGAAGAATTGTTCTTTCCAGGATACCACACTTTAGTAAACAGTTGCATGGATCACCTCAAGGCAGTCAGTTCAGTGCCTACCACCACACAGCAGCATGGTGCTCCTGGCCCTACTGCCCCATTTCCTGGGCATTAATTTCAGCAAGAAGTTGGCCAAAGCCGGGGATTTAGCTCAATGGTTCTGGCGCCTGCCTCGAAAGTGCAAGGTCCTAAGTTCGATCCCCGGTACCAAAAAAAAAATAAAAGAAGTTGGCCATGAAGATCAGCATGACACAGGCTGAGGAACAGAATGCTGTATGGAGAGGAAGTAAGGTCTGGAGCCAGTGGACACTGTCTTCAAAACTAGCAGCAGCCTGGGCTGGGGATTTTGCTCAGTGGTTTCGGCACCTGCTGCGCAAGTGCAAGGACCCGAGTTCGATCCCTGGTAACAAAGAAAAAAAAACAGCAGCAGCCTTGACAGGACAGTAGGCCCAGACGCATAGAGAAGGGATGCAGGGAAGGACTCCTAACGAACACAGGAATAATAAATTTATTATATGAACCACATGACAGGGTAGTGCACATATAAAAAGGGAACTTCTTGTCACCAGAGGACTGCTGGCTGCTGCTCAGTATGGCAGGCAACACACAGAGGTGCTGCATAGCCGCATCCCACTGGGAGTCCACTCTAGGGGTGATGCAGAGAACAGGGTATTCTGAGGATGCCGGGTCCCGAGAGGACAGTACCCAACTGGTCAGTCTTCATCCCTCACAATGGGAACTTGGCACCCTTATCCAAGAGTGACACAGGTGAGCCAGGGACAGGCTCCTATGACCCCCAGCCCCTGCTCCCTCACAGCACACAGCCTGATGCCCACCTGCAGCAGGGGACTCCTTGCTGCCTGGAAGCCGGCCTTCCCTCTGAAATGGAGCCTGGGACCCAAGTCCCAGAGCATCTCTGGGCTACATTTCACATGCCACAAGCAGCATGCCCTGAACCTAACACTGCTCAGAGTTGTACTGTCAGGATTTCCTATGTCCTCTTCCACATCCTCCTATGGAAATGAGTGGAACATATGCTAACTCACAAGACGCTTGGATGAGACCCTGAGTTCTCCCTCATGCTGCTGAGAGTGGACAAGGAGCCTGGAGAGGTCACAGGGAACACAGTCCACGGTCTGACTTCCTGGAGGGTGCTGTATGGAGAATCTTCTCTAGGAAGACCCCTCCCTGCACCTTCCACATTCATTCAGCTCCACAGCCCAGTACTATACAAGTATGGGAAGACCCCAAGGCAGAAGAGAAAAGCAGGAAAGCTAACCTAACCCCAGGCTCTCTAAGGAAGCCAACACCTAGAAAGGTCCAATATGAGGTGTGGATCCACAGAATGGAGGAGGCTATTGGTTGTCCCTGCCATTCCTGGCTAGGCAGCTGAGAGGCAGGCCTGGTGGATGCTCTGTGCCCAGGTGTTGAGCAGGGCTGTGACTGAGTGCTTGTCAGGGAGCTGCAGCAGCCTGGAGGTCATGCACCGGTGCACTGACTGTAGAAAGGGGTTGGCATCTGCAATAAAGCAGAGGGCTGTGAGCATCAGGCCCTCAGTGAGGCAGCCAGCCACATCCGAGCCCAGCCCACACATGCAAATCTGTGGGAAGGGACAGCCCCTGCATTAGTCTGCAATCGCCAGGCAGCGGGGCTCCCCACCCAGAGTCATACCCTAAGTAAAAAACTGGAATTTGGACTGTTTTTCTAGAGCCTCATCATGCAGCTGGATTTGCATGAGACCAAGCTCCTGCTGGTGGCCCTGGGTCAGCCCTGTAGAGCTCCACAATGGCCACTGGGAGCAGCTGGGTGTCCTTGAGCTGCGGCCTTGCTCAACCCTCCCCCACTGAACATAGCTGCCTTGCAGCTGCATGACAGAAAGAGTGAAGAGCACAATGCGGGGCACACACCCACCCTTCTCTGGGTGACTGGTGAGCACCCTGCTCTTGACGGTGCTGGGAGGGAGAAGGCACGTGGAGGCTGCCCAGTGCTGACCCTGGCCTGCCCCAGCCCTGGACATCTCTCAGTTCACCCACCATACTGCCACTGCCGGTCGATCCACAGCGGGCTCTGGGCAGGGTAGTCAGCAGGCACGCTGAGCTCCAGGGGCGGCACACTTGGGAGGTCCTTGTCATCTGCAAGACATGAGGCTGCACTTGTGCCCCAAACCCTGACCTGATGCACACACCAACCAGCTTGCACCACAGCCCTGCTCTGGAACAGGGCTCTTCACACCCTGAAAGGCTCTGTTAAGGCTTGCTGAAAAGCCTGGAGGGCTCCAAACAGAGCCAGCAGCCACTTGTGGGGGAGAGGGAGTTGAGGGTGTAGGCTCAGGGACTGGGAGCATGGCTACGCTGCCAAGAAGTGATGACAGACAGTGGGCAGGGCTGTGTGAGTACAGGGCCAGCTGCGGGGAGGGAAGCACTGTCTTGAAGGCCTAGACACTTCACAGCCTTGGGCATGGGCAGCAGAGCCTTGGATCCCCCCCACTCCCCACCCCCCACCCTACTTGGCCACTCACCCAGCTTGCATATGAGGTGGACGGTGCCATTGTTACTGCAGTGAGAAGGGTCCAAGTTCACCAGGAATTTGGGGTCTAATCTGGCCACCTCCCCTTGGAGCACATTGGGGATGCTCTGCCGCTCATCCTCCTCAAACCTGCGCTTCCGGGTACATACCACTGGGGCCCTGGAGGAGGAGGCTGTGGTGACCACACTAGATACATGCAAGCCTCTGGCCTGCCACACACCTTGAGACCCATCCGTGGCTGTACGTACGTGATGGGAGGGCCGTGGATGGCTGTCATGGCTGGCACAAATGTGCGGTACAGGGAATGATTGAAGACAGGTGAGCGGATGTTGGCCAGGACAGCATCCAGGAGCGGCTGACATAGGTCCTGCTGCTTGGTCGGTAGCACTGGGGGCGGTGGGGGTGTGGGCTGGGAACAGGACAGGTGGATCAACAGCCTGGGCTCAAGGCTTCACCTACTCTGAGGAGGCCTTTCAGACCCCAAGGCCGACCCCTTACTCAGCATGGCCTCCACCTTGACCAAGCCTGGACAAAGCTCTAACCCTCCTGCAGCCTTGCTCCCAGCCAGGTATCCTTCCCAGGGTACCGGACTGCCAGAGGCACCCATGGGGACCAAGGACAGAGGGTGACTTCTCCCACATTCCCACTCTCTACATCACTAGCCTGAAAGAAGCCTCCTGGGCAGAGCCCCCAGGCCCAGGCCCTGCTTGCCCTAAGTATGAAGGCTCCTTTCAGCCAAGTTCCAAGGTGCTGTGAGGTGGGCCCTAACCTCCCCAGAGGTGCCTGCAGCTCTACTTACCACCGCCATGTCATTCTTGAGCTTCTCTAGGGCGATCTCACACTTCTGCAGGGTTTTCAGGGGACATCTGAGGGGAGGAGGGATGTGGATTGTCTCTCTGCATGGCAGCTGGGAACGCTGGTGACTCAGGTACTCATCCCAACCACTGCCTGCCTGGCCTCCCTGGCCCTCAACCACTGGAAACCTCCACAGGAAGCCCAGCCAGTTGGCCAGCTGCTCCTAGGCCAGGCTGAGAAGGCCTCTGTTTCATCTGGGCCAGCTCTTGCCCATTGGCCCCACAACCCCAAGGAAGGGTCAACCTCAGAGGGCCTGGAGGGCTGTCCAGCTCCAATGGGCCCCATTCAGCAGAGCCTGGTATCTGACCCAGACAAGCAGGACAAGAACTTTCTGGAAGGGGAGGAGTAGAATGTGAGCTGAAGCAGCAAGATGGGAGAGATGTACGAGAAAGGCCCATTCATGTGCACAGTTCCTATGCTCACAGCAGCCTGTGACTGGCAGGCCAGTCTTCCACATGCTTCTCTTGGGTACCACCTTGTTTCATTTTCCTGAGCAGCACACACAGCCTTGCTGCAGACAGGGTGACCAAGATACAGTCTCCTGGCCAGTTACCAGCAAAGTAAGAAGAGATGAAGGTCAGACTGAGGCCTATCATGGCTAGTTGAAGAGACCACTGCAAACCAAGACCTAGCTAGTGGCCCACTGAGCCAACCTCTGACAGCCACAGGGTGGAAATGTGAGGATAACAGCAGCAGCCTGGAGCAGGCAAAGGCTGGACAATGCAGAAGGTCCAGTCAGGGCTCCACACCCCAGCACACACCTACATGGAATGGAGCTTCTGGGACCTTTAGCAGGGCCCTTTGCTAAACTATCATCACCAAGCCCTGAGGACCGTTCATGAGCTGCAGTGCAGCCCTGTCTAGCCCCAGAGCCTTGGGGCAAAGCTCACCGCTTTGAGGGGTCAGTCAGAATGTCCAGAAGACTCTTCATCTTACTCAGGTCCTTTTTTCTGTCTGGGACAGAGAGGGGACACTAAGACCCAGGTATCTAGAGGGTCCCTGCCCTCAGCCCGGCCGTTGACCCCACCTTCATTCTTGTCAATCTTGTTGATCATGCGGCGCAGGGGCTCGATGTACTTGGATAGTTGCTTCAGCTTGTCTAGGTACTGCTGCTCCTCAGCCTGGCTGGAGCCTGCTGGGCTCATGACAGAGCTGGGGTTCACTGTAGGACATTGTGGGTGAGGCTGGCTCTCTGCAAACCCTCAGGTAGGGCATTCAAGCTCTGAGGCCCAAGAACGCATGCACCCTTATGAATTTAGGCCTCATGAAGGTGACTCTTGGTGCTTCATGGCACCCCAGTCCCAGGTCCCACTTACCAGGGGTATTTAATGGTCCAGGGGAAGGGACGCTGAAATTCTGCGGGGTGCGTGCTGTCACTGGGCTCTGGGAAGGCTGAGGTGAGGGGCTGGGCAGGAAGCTGCTGGGGGAGGGGGCAGGACCGGAGCTGTAGCCAAATGAGAGAAAGCAGCTCTGAGCCAGGGGCACTGGGCATGCCCGCCCTGAGGACCAGACTAGAGGGCTGGCTGTCCTTGGCCAGCCTTACCTGACATTTGAGTTGGGCTGTGAGCCAGGCTGTGGGGATGGCTGCGGGGGAGGAGGCATCGACTGCGGAGTCTGCACCTGCTGGCCAGGTGATGGTGAAGACAGCATAGTGAGGCCACTCTGGCTGACCTGGAAGTGGAGGGGATTAACCAACTAAAAGTCATACATTCCCACATGCCTCCATGCTACCTGCCACCATATCCACAGCCCCATCCTCCTTCACAGCCTCACCCATTCCCTTGTCTTTTTCCAAATATGCACCCAGGCAATAGGCCCACCTCTGGATATACAGAATGTACCTGTAAGTGCTGCAGGCCCACCCAGATGGAGCCTTTGCCATAGGACTCTGGACACTGGAGTTGCAACTCATAGCCACAGACTCCCACAATGCCTCTGTGGGACCATACATATACTGCCACCCAACTGTGGCCACAGCTCCACACCTCCCTCCTACCACTCTTCTGCTATGGTCCCAGAAGCAATGAGTAAGGACCACTCTGGGTTCTCAGCTTTTCACACTGGGAACAAGTCCAGCTCTCACCCACCAATGATTCCTTCCCACCCCATGGGACAGCAGGGCAGGGAACAGGGACATAACCACCATAGCTGCTCAGCCCTTTTAGGACCTACTACCTGGACAAAGTTTGAGGAGTGAAATGGCACTTGCCTCCTGCACACCAATTCATCTGCTCTCACTGATTGTGCCACACAGTGCTGCCCAGGGGACCCTGTCCATTAGGGTACCAGGGGGACTAAAGCACAGGGTGCCACCCACATTGTGATGATTTCCACATGGCTGGGTCAGAGGCCTCAAACCAAAGCTGCTGGCCCGGTGGGACAGTAACAGAGGGAACACACTGTTCCCACCATTCTGTGACACCCCTGCCAGGAGTCAAGCAGAGCTCTTCACTGATTTCACAAGGTCAGACCAGGACTGGTGTGGCTATGCCTGTGAAGTGCTGAGCTGAACAAATACAGCAGGTTTCCCCTGTAGGTCTGACACACCACTGAGTCCCAGGGGATCAATGTGTCCCACATACATGTACCAGAATCAATCTAGGTGCTAACAAAATCCTAGGCCCAAAACTTCCCTGCAGAGAACTACATATGGTGTCAAGGAGCAGAAAGCAAAGGCCCTAGATCCCACTACACACCCTACCCCACCCCAGTCCAGAGGGCAGGACTGGCTCTGCAGTGGTTCCCTCTCACCCCTGTCCCCCAAGTGCCCACCACCCCTCCTTCCTGGACTTGAGCCTCCATCTGCTGCCAGTTTCCACCGGCACCCAGTCCCTGATGGAACAGCTGCCCCTTTTAGAAACTAGTTAGTTCTTGTCCATGGCCTAAAAACTGGTGCTCCTCTGGAGGACAGCAAGGCAGATGTAGGGAGTCATAACTGGGCAGGGGCTGTTGCAGTGGGAAGGTCACCTCACAGCTCATGTTCCCACCTTAGTAACCAGACCATAGGGCACAGGGACACACTGCTGACACCCTCTGCTCTTGGAGAGGGCAGGGTAGGGTTTTCAGGGGTTGTGTCTCCAAGCACCAGGAAGTGTGGAGGGCAGCCAGCTGCATAAACCTCCAGAGGAGACAGAACATCCAGGTCCAGCCCAGAATCATGTCCTCAGGGAACACAAGGGCCTCTCCTCTCTGTCAGAGGAGCCTGGATCCCAGTGTCATGCCTCTTCTCACACCCTAAGGAGGCCTGGACTCTTTCTCCTAAATACTCTACAGGATCCAGGATGGCACACTGGTCTGTTGATACATGAGGCTCCTTCAGACCCTTCCAGGCAGCTGTCTGCCCCTGAATCTCATCAGCATCTCCATTTCTGTCTCTTCAGGGCCCCCAGGCACACAGGTCTCTCTCAGCAATTCAGCTGTTCCAGGCCAGGGTAGTCGGCAGACCCCAGATGATGGGAAGTAGGGAACACACGTCCAACAGGGAGTAAGACAAACCTGGGGCACCCTTTCACTTCCAAAGCAGGAAAAAGGGGGCTTAGAGAGTGCTTAAGATATCAGCCCTGAGGATCAAGTCACCGGACACCCCCACCCCCACCCCCAGCCTCAAAGACCCATCTTCAGACACTGGCCTAGAGAGGCAGCCAGTAGGGTGGGAACAAACCCAGCCTTTAGGGAGCAGGGCAGGAGATACCAGTGCATCTTGTCAGCAATGAGCTCCTTGCAGGGAGGGAAATGATCCTCCATGTGTTCCCATCCTGCTAGTGGCACAAGTATGGATATGTCACAGATGCTGGCAAAAGCCACAGGAGAATGATGGATCTCCCGGGGAAGAGCTTGTGAGTGCTTGCCACGTGCCTCACACTCCTGTACATCACAGGTGGGAACATGGGAGCTCAAGGGAGGTGATCTGCTCAAGGTCACACAGCTAGTGTTGTCACTCAGGGAGCCCAGGTACAGTAAAATCCAGTGCCTCCAAAATGATGGCATACTGTATACTTTCTTGGGAAAGGGACTGCACACAATAGCCACAGGGAGGTTATGGGGCTGCACAGAGCAGCCGGGCCAGAATGCAGATGGATGCACAGTGGGGGCAGGTGGGAGTGGAGGTGGGGTAGAAGGGAAAAGGGGCCACAGCTCAGGAGAAGCAGAACAGAAAGGTTGGTCCAGGTAGCTTTGTCCCACAAACAAACCTTAGGACAGGCTAGTACCATGAGCTCTCTCTCTAGACTACCCACGCTGTTCAACACTTCAACACTTGCTCCTGGATATTCATCAGGCCCCTGTGAGTCACTTTCTAGAGCTAAGAGGAACATGGTCTCATCATGGTGCCACCTGCTTACACCCACCAAGAAGTGTGAGAAGAGAAACTTTAGGTCACCCCACTGGACCCCTATGTTGGGCACTGTGTCTGGTACACGCCTGGCATAGAATCCTATTTGATCATAGTTGTTGGAGCCCATAAAGTAACCCCACCACAGCACAAAGATGCACCTGGAACAAGAGGACACACAGGAGTCTCAAGAAGCCGGTGGTGGCACAAGTCTACTATCTCAGCACTCTGGGAGGCTGAGGGAGAAGGATCACAAGCTTGAGCCCAGCTTGGGCAATGTAGCAAAGACCCTGTCTCAAAGGAGTGGGGGAGAGGGGGCTGGGGATGTAGCTTAGTACAAAGGCCCTGGATTCAACCTTTAGTACTAGGTGGGGTGTAGGGTGGGGTGAGGCTAAAGAGTGCCTGAATTTCTGCATGCTATTCTCGAACCCAATTTGTTATCACAAGGAAAGAAAAAAACCAGATACAGATGCTGAATTGTGTCCTGCTGAGGAATGAGAGCAGGTGGCTGGGGGAAGACAGCAGCTATAGGACATGCTGAGGTCAGGAGGCACTGGAAACCTTAAGTGGGGTACAGGCTTCAGCCAAGCTCACTGGCCAGATAAGCAATAGGGCAGTTCCCAGCTACATTTTTATTTTGTCTTTAGTGCTGGGAATGGAATCCAGGGCCTCTGGACGCTAGGCAGATGCTCCACTACTGAGCCATAGCCCCAGCCCGTGAATGGATTTTAAGGACATTCTTGGGATAAGCTCTCTTTTCTAGGGAGGGCCTAAATTAGAAAGTCACTGTCACAAAAGCAGCTGCATTGTTTCTGGAACTAGATGAATGTCCAGGGTATGCATAGCCCAGGGTGATTCCAAGGTCCTGAACATGGGCAGGGCTCCTCTGTTCAGAGGTCACTCAAAGCCAGGTGTACAGCAGGCTGCATGGGGGAGGCCCACCAAGGCTGGGCCTGTGTGGAGGCTGGGGAAGGGAGGCTCCCCATGGGTAGGGCCAAGATCACACAGGACTGCAGAGCACTGTGTTGGCAGCAGGAGGCTTCCAGGGTTCTCTCCATTGACTTTTCTCCCTTCTCTAAGTATTTTCAGAGTCCCCTTCCTCTCAGTAGGCATGGATGAATGAGTCTGCTTTAAAAAAACAAAGCCAGAGGGCCAGAGATTTAGCTCAGAGGCACCACGCCTGCTTCACAAGTGCAAGGTCCTGAGTTCGATCTCCAGCACCAAAAAAACCCCCCCAAAAAAACCAAAAACCAAAAACCAAAAAAAAAAAAAAAAAGCCAGAGCCTTCTAGTTTCCCGATGCCAGAAATCCTCTGGCTAGATCACTGTTGGGACAGTAGTACTTCCTAAATGCTGCTGGATTTGTCAACACACTACCTCAAAGCTTCAGGGGTATGATCCCCTGCCCACAAGCACTAACGGTGTATGTCTTTGGGTGGGTAGATGTTGTGAATAATCTGTGTGGAGTTAGCTGGCATTGTCTGGTGATGGCTCTGTTACTATAGCCACAAAATGCAACGGGGATGAACTAAATTTGCCATGTGTTAACTTTATTTTGGCTTTATCTTCTTTTTTTTTAATCTTTCCTAGCCTCTACCTCTCTTCCTAGCCTTTTGGGGCTGGGAAGTACTGCAGATAATAAGACTTAGCTGGCACCACTAGTGGGTAGACTTGATCTGGAGGGGGCTGAGGAAGGCTGGGGAGAAGAGTGGAGAGATTTGGCCCAGTGAGTTCAGATGGAAACATCAAGAAATCACCAGCTAGGGGTGTGGTACAAGCACCCTGCAACAGACTGTGGGCAAGACAAGGGGTGGAACAGAACTTGGTGTGGCAGGAGTGTGGAGCCATAGGGGTGTGAAGGAGGCCCCCTGGGGAGCATGGGAGGGCCTGCTCAGCCAGGAGTAAAAGCAAGGACTTCAGCAAGAACAGGGCTGAGGTGTTTCCAGAAGGCTCCTACTGAGAGGCCAAAGTGTGAGAAGTTCATCTGTGCACCTGGGTCCTCAGCAGGCCAGCTCCCTGTGGCCCTTCTCAGTTTGTAAGAGGAGCTAAATGCCTGAACCAGGACCTGCAGCAGTGAGAACCAACAAGATTCTGCACACAAAGTACCCACCTTGAGGCCTGGCGCATATCACACACTCAAAGTGTTGGAGACTTGTAAAAAAAAATTTTAAGAGTAGGAAAATTTGTTGAGGAATAGGAATAGCTTCTGAGAGACAGGAGGGGTCCCAAATGGGTTGCCGATTTCTTTGTTTTATAAAAACCAGTCCTACATGCTGTGGATAAAGTCATTTGCCCCTACAAGGTCACTTGACTGTGAACCCAAAAGGTACCAAGCCAGTGATGTGACTGTTCAAGTGAGGACAAGGATCATACCTGTTTGTGAGCTCGCAGGGAAGGGCAGGGTCTACTGCTGTCTGCTAGGATTCCCTGTGACAAAAAGGGAATTTTGAAGGTCTTTTGGCAGATTTAAGGTTTTCACAACAAACCTACCAAAATGGAAAGTCTGTATGATGTGAGGTCTTTAGAACTGTTTTATCTCAGAATCTTACAACACTGTTTGGCACACAAGAACCCACGTGGTATCTGTTTGTTAAAGAAATGAATATACTGTGAGATGATTCCATATTTCATACAATGGAAAACCAGGAGTTAACTTCCTTAAAAGATGTAATGCAGCTGGATGTGGTGGCACAGGCCTATAATTCCAGTACTTGGGAGGCTGGGGAGGCTGAGGCAGGAGGATTGCTACAAGGTCAAGACCAGCCTGGGATACACAGTGAGTTCAAGAACAGCGTGAAATACACAGCAAGACCTTGTCTCAAAAACAAAAGAATGTAATATACACCGAAGTTCACTTTTACCTAGGAAGGTACGTCTGTAGTAAATTCTGCTGCTTAGCAAACTCGAGGGAGCTGCCCTGGGCCAACTCAACTTTCACCCACAATAGCTGTCTTCGGTGATCTGTGTTGTCTTGATGGGAGCCACTAAGTTCCCCAGGGGCTACTGAGCTCAAAATGTAACTGGTACAAACAAAAAATTGAGCTTTTAGCTTTATTTAATTTTAATTAATTTAAAGGTAAACAGTCATACATCTCTAGAAAGCAAAGTTATCTGTATGGCTTGTTTTATTTCACCATGAAAATAATAGCAAGATGATCATTTTAAACTGGAGGGTGGGGGACAGACATTATTCACTTCCCAAGAAACACCAGCTGGGTTTGGCCTTATTTAATCAGATTAAAAAGTGATACTTGGTATAATGCACGCTGAAAGTCACTGCAAAGGAAGTCACTGAAGATAATAGATAGGCTTAACAAAGGCTCTCAGGATCATAAGCATCTGTGGCAGGGGCTGTACAACCAAAGGATGGAGGATGTCAGTGGAGTTAGGTGGGAACTGGGCTCTCACATGCATCCTGCCTTGGGCCAAGGCTTCAGCAATCACCTTTGAGCACATGGGGACAACGGACGGGGTGATACCAACAAGAATCGCAGTGCACAGCAGGTAGAGAGGATGTATACAGCCTCTAACAAGGAGGAGCCACAGGATGAGACACCCTTGGCAGTTCTGGGTGGCCTGGGGGGAGGGGAGGCACAGTGATGTGTTTAAGCTCAGTGTCTTTCTATCCTACTGGCTGCACTCCTGCAGTGGTTGTCCTGGATATACTTCTGAGCTGTGGACAGATCAGAATCCTGTAGCCCAGAGTGTCAGAGCCTGACTGGGAGAGCTGAGTCAGAGGTTCTGGGAGACCAGGCTCGGGAACAGACTAGGAAAGGGGACAGGCCACCAAGCCTTGCTACAAGAAAAGTTGACCATCACTAACACAGAAACCACATTTAGATGAGCCTGCTCATAGCAGCATTCCTTCTCAGAAGTACCCCTCTCAGAGCCCCAAACCACTCTCAACTCCTCCATGCCTCTCCAGGGCTGCTAGTCCTGGCATCTATAGAGGAAATGGTTTTTTTCACAACTAAAAACTGGGGAGAAGGTGAGCAGGAGAGCCTGGACCCCAGTTGAGGGGCCTCCCCCCTTATGAGGAAGGTCACTTCCACAGGGACATGCATCAAGTCAGTCCCTAAACACCAAAGATGATTACTGAGGTGGAAATTCTAGCACCAGCCATGACTTCTCTTGTCAATTTATACTTCTTACTAGGGTTATAGCTCATATAACAACACTGATGTTCCCGGAGTCCTATTCTGTGTTCTACCTGGCTTTTTTATCTATTATTTGAGATAGGGTCGCCCTATGTAGTTCAAGTTGGCCTTGAGCTCACTACATAGCCCAGTCTGGCCTTGAACTCACAGCAATACTCTCGAGTTTGCCTTGGCTCTTTTATTTGATATTACTCATGTAGCAAGGGACAGTTTCACCCACAGTGGGATTTACTAGGATACAACAGATGTCTCTTTTTCCCCTATAAAACCAAGGTAGAATGTGTATCCATTTTCAAACAATTCCTATACTTTTGTCTTTTAACCTTCTATTCTTCTAGTATATGAAAATTCAGCTTTATTTTATAGGTTGCAAAGAACTGTCATCAAAGACAAACACCCATTATGGACATGCATGTGACAAAACTGACATACAATTGCTCTCTGAGTGAGCCTTTGCCAGCCCCAGAGAACGACCCCTCCTTTCCTCCCTCTGAGCCTTTCTGTGCAGTGACCAAAGCAGGCCTGCAGCCTGGGCTGGCGTGGAGTTTCCCTGAATTCCTTTCTGGGCAGCTATGTGTTGGAAAGTTGCAAAATGTTATCACTTGATAGTGAGTTACCAGTTGGTAGTTTCTGTTTTACTGGAATTTCTGGCTAAAAGAAAATGAATGGGCTGGGGATGTAGCTCAGTGATAGAGAGCTTTGGTAACATACATGAGGCCGGGAGCTCAATACCTAGTACCACAAAAAAATTTTTAAAGTTTCGTCTGTTGGAAGATGGTGGGACTATCTGAAAATGGTGGAAACATTTACAAGGTGGGGCCTAAAAAAAAAAGAGGTAGAGCTTAGTATATTTAAAGAAGACTGGAATGCCAGGCTCTTCCTGCCTGGATGACACACCTTAAAACATTGAAGGCACAGTCCTCAATAAACCAAACCCATTTGGAAATAAACCAAAGGGGTGACTATGCTCCACCTTTCCTAGCTACCACAGATCCTGCAATCTTTCCACTAACTACACCTAAACAGAAAGATCCTATCCTTCCTTTGACCTTCCACTTGCCAGTGATCCTCAATGATCGGGTGGGAAAGACATTAACAATTAAGGTGTATACTCAGACATAACTGTCCATGGCTCACCACGTTTCCACAAGAGCAGGAAGAGCCATGCCCTGCACACAGGCTCAGTGTGGGGGACTGAGCACATGTACCCAGAATCCTGCTGCTGGCAGCTGATGAGACATTGATATGATGATTAGGGATATACTTCCTTGATCTAGCAGCCTATGAACAAGTTGGCAGAATGGACCCACACCAACTGCACAAATGGCCCATTGTGCAGCTGTTTGCTTTCCAAACAATGAAAGGTGGGGATGAAAAGACAATTTCTTTCTCCCTTTTATACTGGACCAGACCAGAGGTAGAGAGGTTTTCATAAAGAAGGTCCTGTAATGGGGTCACAAAGCAGCAAGGGAAGCGGCCAGTAGCTTATACTTTCAGAGCAGTCACTAATGTGCTGCCACTTTGCTGACCGAACACAAACCACATCCTTCCTCTGCACAAGCAAACAAGAGGAGGGGGTCCCCAGGTGACCTGAGACAGAGTGGTGTTGGGAGAGACAGATTCCAATCTCACAGTGGTGGTCAGTCTCCCCCAAATGCAAACACGAAGTCTATGGTGTGTTTCACATAACAGTGGGTAATAGAGGAACACGGCCCAGGTCACTCAGTGTAGTGGCAAGGGAGCTGCTAGGTTAGATTAGCTGCAGCCAAAGACTTCAGGTTCCCTCCACTGCAAGCTTCTCCTCAGGCAGTGTCCCAGGGACTTGAACAATGCAGTGGGGACAGGAAGGGGTATTTCTGAGCCTCCACCCCAGTGTGAAACGATGTCTGACTGGCTCACAGAGCTGTGGACCCAGACTCAGCTCAGCAGGTTTTCAAGTAAGCCAGTCAGTACAGATACACAGCTGATAGCCTCCTAAGGGCAGCAAGGTGTGGTCACAGCACCAGCTGAGGGTGGAACTGTAACAGCCTCCCCATATCAGCTAGCACATTCCAACTACTTCTAAAGCCAATCTCCCAAGTCAGGACTAGGAGTGTTTCTACCACCATATGGACACAAGAAGAATCAAGGCCCCAGTTAGGTATCTCCTTGTACAATCACTAGCATGAAGGTGAGGTGGGCATATCAGTCAAGTCACAGGGACCCTGGGTGTCCAGTCCCCAGACACTAGGAAAGGCCAGACAAGGCCTCCTGTATCCCATCATCCCACTGACATCTGATCTAGAGTGAACAGGCATGAGCTAGCTGGACAGCAAAATGTGAGTGGTGCCTATTTCTCCCCGTGCAGGCCCATTCCCATGCTCCTGTGTGACACATGCCTGTCCATGTCTAGATACTCTGCTATTCTCATCTTCCTACGTTCATGGAAGTTGCCTCCCACCCTTGCCAGTTCTGTCCTTAGGGGCTCAGATGGAAGCAGAAGTGAAGATGAAACCATGCTGCTTTCCTCTCACATGCACCTTCTCGGAGCAGAGAAAGGAGAGAAGACAAGGATTCCTGGGGGTAAAGTGGGAACTACACACACTACATACACAGCTGGTAGGGTCCCAATCATGACTGAACAGAGCTGCCTATCCTGAAGATGTTGGGGGTGTCTCAGAGTGCCAGGGAGAGGTGATTCCCCATGCTTTACCAATTTGGACCCTAAACCAAACTGGACCCTTGCTGTAACTCTATGGGTGGATGGACATGCACCAGCTAGAGACTCCAGAAGCCTTCGGCTCCCAAGGCCTTTACCTGAACTCCAGAAGCCACCATCTGAGCAGCCTGTGCTGTCTGCACTGCTGGCTGCTGCTGTACCTGAGGCTGTACCTGCGGCTGCTGGACCACCATCGGAGCTCGGACCTGTAGGCAGGAAGAATTCAATTTGGAATTACCTGGGGCAGAGAGTAGGGCACACAGTACCTCTGTGGGAATGAAGGCAATTGAACCTTTCTAGAGATGGGAGATGAGATTATACTGATTTCATAGGCCATGATGTAACTGTTACTGGCTGTTACTGATATCATAAGGTCCTAAGAAATGTCCCACACCAGCCAAGTTATGTGTTAGCACAGACAAGGCCCTAACTTCTCTAACTCTGATGAGAACCAGAACAACCCTCCCACTGAGCTTCTCCAGACACCCACCACACCAGCTATCACCGTGAGCAGAGGAATGGCCTCCACAAAGCCAACTGCATAGCTTAATCTGCTTATCCTCTGGCTAAACATGCAGATGGTCCAGGAGGAAGAAAACCAAGACTGGCCAGCTGGCAGCTCAACTAGAAAGATGAGCTCGGGTAAAAGAGTCAGGCTTGAAGAAGAGCAGACAATGTAGGACCAAGTGCAAAAAACTCCTCGCAAGGACAAGGCAAGCCCCAATTAGGCCCAGGGAGGTGGCTCCTCCCTCGATGTTTCCAGGCCACCAGTCCCAATCTCAACAGGACACAGCCCATCACACAAAGGTTCAGGTCCCAATGGGCTGGTTTTCCAGTGACAGGTGAGGGACCATATCTGCTCCTTATGACCCTCAAGCCTCCCAACCTGCTGCAACAGGGCCTCTTCTTCACTCAGACACTCAGGTCAGGTGAGGTTCCTAACCCCACACCACTCAATGAATCACAAATAGAAAAGGTCACAAAAACCAAGGGAACTGAAAAGATGTCACAGTTATCTTCATCTTGGTGGCAACACTCTCTGTTCTGTAAACGTCATGGACTGGATTTACCTTGTAGAGACGTACAATAAGACTGAAAATAATAGTATTTTGTGCGAGTACCTTTCTCAAAAATATAGAAATTGTAAGACTTTTCAAAAACCTGAAGGTGTAGTTCATTGGTGGAACATATGCTTAGCATGCACAAAGCCCCATGTTCCACCGTCAGCACCAAAGAAAGTGAAAAATTTAAAACACAGCAAGGTGGTGCACGCCTATAATCCCACCACTCTGGGAGACTGAGACAGGAGGATCATAAGTTCAAGACCGGCCTAGGCAATTTATCAAGAAATAAAGAATTGGGCTGGGGATTTAGCTCAGTGGTTCCACTGCCTGCACCTCACAAGCGGAAGGTCTCGAGTTCAATCCCCGGTACCAAAAAAATAATAATAATAAATAAAGAAGAATAAAATATAAGTAAAAAAAAAGAGTTGGGGGTATAGCTCGGTACTGAAGGTCTTGAGTTCAATTCTTACTGCAGAAAGAAAGAAAAAAACGATTTTGGCTTAGGATACAACTCCAAACAGTAAGTGAAGCACCTTGGATATCCAACTGACCTAGCACATCCTCCTTCATGGTGAGACTACATGTCAGCCTGATCATGCACCACCTTCAAGTGCCCACAGACACTACTGAAATCAACCACATGGCTTGGAAGATGAGACATCTCCATGCAGGGTGCAAAAGTAGCTCTCAGAACACACAGTCCCTCACTGGCCTGTGCTACAAAGCCAGATGGGTGGGCCAACATGAGGGTTGCCCAAGTTCTAGTGTGTAAAGAAAAGAACACTGGGCCGGGGATTTAGCTCAGTGGTTTCACCTCCTGCTGCACAAGCGCAAGGACCCAAGTTCGATCCCCGGTACCAAAAAAAAAACAAAACAAAAAAACAAAAACATAGCCTGGTTGACAGAATCACCACCCACATGCAACACCATGAGAAGACGCGCGTGACTCACTATGGGCTTTGAGTACTTACAAATTTCAGCTGCGGTTGGGCATACAACATCTGTCCCGGAAGGGCTTGAGCCTGTGACACCAAAGGTTGGCTCTGTGACTGTGGTGGGAGTTGTGATGGTTGGTTCTGAGCCACTGGGGGTTGCTGAGCCTGTGGCGGAGGTTGGTGGTGTTGTGGATGATGCATCTGTGGCAGCTGCTGGGGCAGAGCCTGGGAGGGGGGAGGCTGCGGCTGCTGCATGGGTGGCTGTTGTATTGGTGGCTGGGCCTGCAAAGCCTGCTGCTGCTGCTGTTGTTGCTGCTGTTGCTGTTGCTGCAGCTGCAGCTGTGCCATCCTCTGCAGCTGCTGTTGCTGCTGTATCTAGGGACAGGAAAAGCAGCACTCAGTGACTACCCATAAGCCTCTCAGGTGCCAGCTCCTTCCAGTGCCAGCTGAAGCTCCAGAAAGCCCAGGAGGGGTTATCACCTTCATGGAGGCCTGTCTGACCTCTCACACAGGGAGGGGAGCATGTCCCAAGAAAAGGAACCTGGACTCTTGAGGCTAACACCAGCTATCTTCTAGATACTAAAGACACACCAAGCGTGCCTGTGCGCTTGCCACTGGAGACCGATCCACCCCTGAAGTGCCTCAAGGGAAATACCTAGAAGGTTTTTAACAAAAGTAGGTGCACTTCCACAGAAGGTAGGCTAAAAGCTCAGGCCAAGTGCAGATTTCTTCAGCTTTCTCCAGTGTTGCTGTTTTGAGCCTGTGATGGTCAGCAGTTCAAGCTTCCATAAGGGTGGCCAATGTCTATTTCTCATGATGAGGAAGACAAGTAGGGCTGAGATACAGTTATCTCTGGGAGAGGAGCCTCCAACCAGAGGGGGCCAGCAGGTGCAAAAGCACCATTGATGCATTTCTCCCTCAACCAATACGTGCTGACACATCTAGATTCTGACTGCAAACCACAGGAGGACAAAATAGCTTCTACCAGCAGGAGTTCCAATGTGACACTGCCACTGCCCTACAAACACCAGCTGGAGGTCACCTGATACTGTGCCCAGACATAAGAGACAAAATAAGAGGAGTGTTTATGTCCTCAAAAACAAAAACATCCACAGCACAGTTCAAGCATCCCTGAATCTCGAAGCGTCTGTTTCCCTTCTTGTTTCAGTTAATGCCTCACAGTATGCAGCAGGCCCAAGCTAGGGGGAACTCCTATAAGGCAGCACCACCCTATGAAGTCAAGGCCTAATTTTCTTGCCAGTCCTACTTTGTGGGAAGCCTACACAGGAGGGCAGGCAGCACCTGTCAAGAAGGACCCTTGGGAAGTAGGAAGAAAATGTTCAAATGGGAAGGAGAACAAGAGAAGGGGGAGGAAGGAGGGAAGGAAGAGAAAAGGAAAAAAAGAGAGAGAGAAAATAGAAGGGAAAAAATGGAATAAAGCTTTGATAAATAAGGAGGGGAAGAAGGGTTGAAGGGAAGGGAGGAGAATGGGGAAAAAAGAAGAATCAAGATATATTATCTACAGGTACAAATTCCCTATGATGAATGTTATCACTATGTATATCAAAAGTTTACCAATAAAATTAACAACAACAACAACAACAAAAAACAAAAACAAAGGAGGCCCCCACACCCAGCACCATGGCTGATGCCTATCCTTGGCTAAAGGACTGCAGGAGGGAGGACTGGTGCAGATGCAGGGAACCTGGTACCTGTTGCTGGTTTTGATGATGCAATTTAATGAGGTGCTGCTGCTGTTGCTGCTGCTGCTGCAACTGTTGCTGCTGCTGCACCACTGCTTGGAACTGCTGCTGCATGGCACTCTGCTGTGCCTGGAATTGCTGTTGCTGCTGCTGTTGCTGCTGCTGTAGCGCCGCCTGCTGCTGCTGGAACTGCTGCTGCTGCTGTTGCTGCTGCTGTTGCTGCTGCAGTGCCACCTGCTGGAGCTGCAACTGGGCTGGAGAAGAGACCCAGATGTAGGCCAATGCCACCCCTAGGGCTGCCTCAGGGCTGCACAGCAAAGGAAGCAGCAGCAAGCCAAGGCCTCAGTGCTACAGCTACTATGCAGACTGGGTGTTCAGGCAGGGCATGCTACCCAGGCCGTTGCAGGAATCTGAAAACTCTCATTTAAAAAGACAGATCAGACAGCAGTTGGCATTTGTGTTGATTATGAACTTACTTGAATTACTCTCTAGAGATGAAGGAGAAAAGGGCCCATTAAGTCTTCACTATGGACAAGAAGCAACTGCTAATGTACTTTCTTTCTTTCTACCTATAGATTTGTTGATTCAGACATTCATTTGAATGGCATTAGAGAATATGTGTTGTTTTATGACTGGCTTATTTTGCAAAATGGTTACAAAGCTCACCCCAGTTGTGGAATGTTACCAGCTTTACTAGTATTATTTTTATAGAATACTATTCTACTATAATAAAATAATATCTTACTATATGAGTTGCCCACATTTTTTTATCTACTCAGCTGATTGACATTTGGGTTGTTTTTACTTCTTGACTATTGTGAATAATTCTTATATAAATAGTTACAAGATTTTCTGTGTTGAGGTTTCTTTTTGTGTGATGAAAATGTTCTAAAACTGATTATGGTGACAGCAGCACAACTTTGAATATACCAAAAACTACTGAATAGTGCCTTCCAAATGGGTAGATTATATGCTAATGAGAATTATATATAAAAAATCAGGCATGGTGGCACATGGTTGTAATCCCGGCATTCTGGAGGCCGAGGCAAGAGGACTGCTGTGAGTTTGAAACCAGTTTGAGGTACATAGTGAGTTCAAGTCCCTCCTGAACTACATAGTGAAACCCTATCTCAAAAAACTGAAAAGGGAAAAAAAAACCCACAGAGAGAACTTTTCTATGCTTGGCCCAGTTTTCGTGGCAATATCACGCTACCGTATATCACAATGAAAATATGCCCTTGTTTGTATGGGTGTGTTTACTAAACTCTTACAGACAGCAATTTTATCACCATCTAGGTGGGTTGGACTACCATCAGAGCAAGACACTGAGCAGTTCTAATACACAAAGATCCCTCAGCTCCCATCAACAGTCCCACCTCTCAAGCCCTGGCCACCACTATGGTACTGTCCATTTCTAAAACTTTGTCACTTCAGGCCAGGGATTTAGTTCAGTGGTTCTGGCACCTGCCTTGTAAGTGCAAGGACCCAAGTGTACCAAAAAAACAAAACAAAACACTTTGTCATTTCAAAATTACATAGAATAGCTGGGGGAAAAGTTACACAATAAGTAGAACCACACAGCATGAATCCTTTTATGATTACTGTTTTTCCTTCTGCATATTTCTCTGAAGATCACTCAAGCTGTATGAACAGCAATGATTTCTCCTTCTATTGCTAAGTAGTATTCCATGAGATGTATCTATTGTTGACTATGCGCACAATGCAGAACATCTGAGGTGATAGGAGATTTGGGCTATTCCAAATATAGCCATGAACATTTATGCATATGTTTTTACAGGAAATTTTCATTTCTCTGGGATAAATGACCAAGAGTATAATGGTTGAGGTTTACTTTAAAGAAGCTGCACCATTTGACGTTCCCATCTGCAGCACATGAGCAATTCAGTCTCTCTACCATCAGCAAATGATATTGTCATGATTTATTTCAGCCATTCTGGATAGATGTTAAAACTTTTTTTTTTAACAGCATGTTTTCTTTGTTTTTTTCAATTTTTATTTTTATTAGTAGATGTTTGCAGTACATAGTGATTACATTCTAGAACTCTTAAATTTTTCTTTTGGTTACAAATTTCTGTTTAACAATCTGAAAGCATGTGAATGACAAAAATACTTTGAAACTGTTGAGACTCACTTTATGGTTTATTTTTGTAAACATATCTGTTCCATCCTGTGTTTAGAGTAAGTTCATTATACTGTTCAAATCTTCTCTGAATGTACCAATTTTTATCTGCTTAACTAGCAATAATCAAGAGAACTGAGATAACTGCCCAATACATGTATGTTTGTTCGTCTTTTATTTTCTAATCTTTTTGCATCTTACAGGCTTTTCATCTCTCCAGAACTGAGCATCATTTTAGAGGTAATTTTTGTTTATGCCAAGGGTTCTCAACCTTTCACCACTGCTGACTCTTTGGCGCAGACACTTAATTCTATATAGTGGGGAGCTGTACTATGCAAGATGTTTAGCCCATCTCAGTATATCTGCCCTCTACCCACTATGTGCTAGTGGCACGCCATCTGTGATATCCAAAAATGTCTCTGGACATTGTCAGATGTCCCTATTGTGCCCCAAAAAATCACCTTGGCTAACAATCACTGGTTTAGATTTAACATATTCAACATCTCTTCTGTCACTGTTATGTGCTGCATCTCAAAAGGACAGCTTAAGAGGGAAGAGGAAATGGTGAGCAATAAAAGAACACTCCCTTTTGTGTTGTTTATCTAAAAACTTCTTGGGCTGGGGATTTAGCTCAGTGGTGCCTCCACCTGCCTAGCAATTGTAAGGTCCCAAGTTCGACCCTGGTATGAAAGAGAGGGGGGGGAGAGGGGAGGGAGGAGGGAGGGGGGGGCGGGGCGAGAGCACCG